AAAGTGTGAAGGGTAATACCACAGAAGAACAATGTACCACAGAATGGCCACAGAAGTAGGCGTGGATGCCGAATAGCTGCTCAACTGACGTCCTCAAACCTACCTACTAGGTATCTAGAGGTATTCATTGGGAAAGGCGAGACTCTTCTCCCGAGTCTCTTCGGAGTACATGTAGGTGACAAGAGCGACTCTGCGAGGCACTAGGCGCTCAGAAACACCATGGAAATGTCGGGAAAGGAGAATCATCTTGACTACCTAGGCATCTAACATCCAAATGCTAGTGGTGATTTCAGTTCTGTGAGACGGCGCGCTCGCTGGTTTCTCCTTTACATCCAAGCGAGTTGCATACTTACTAGTAACTACAGTAAGCCAGGCCTGTAACGATAGCCTTCGCGAGGCTTTTTTTTTTATCGTTATTGGGTGATTGTCGTTAAATACTCCGCACCTAGGTACATACTACTAGGTATGTTACGCAACTCCCGACCCCACATACCCCGTGCCGTGCCGTGCCGTGCCGTGTCGTAGCCGAAACCTTTTCAATGTTCCCGACTCCCGAGGCTTCGACTAGGAGTGCACGATCTGCCACTGCTCCCAGAACCCTGTGGACTACATTAATGAATAATTAACGAAATTGTGTGCTGGCCCGGAGCGGAGCATCCGGGCTAATACTCATAGCCGGCGGCATGTCTATATAAACCTCGGATGCAGACGTCATGGCACGCCGATGGGTGTAAACGACGGTGATGATTTCGGCCTGGACGAGCCCACCATGGCCGAAACCCAGCTGCCAAGTGCTCTTCTTAGTCGTGTTGTAAACCGGGTTGTGTCGAGATCAAGCTACGACCCCGGGCCTCCTCCAGACGGTGGTTGGCTGGCCTGGACTCAATGTAAGTTGTAACTTCTCAAAGGAAGAGGGAAACAAGAACGCAACTCGTCTCAACTTGTTTCCCGTCATCGCCTCCACATGGAGGACCCAGACTCAGGTCCCTCTGGATGGTTCCCTGGACTACTAACGCAGACAACTAGGCTTTGTTGGTCATCTCGTCATCTTCAATACATGGTATGTCATGCATACACTGGACCACAACAGACTCGGATGCTTGCGGTGCTGTGTGAATTGCTCCCCCTACCCCCTTTCAGATGTACAGTTTCACCATATGGCCATGTTTTAGCTGACTTTCTTTGTTCTGTTTTCCGACTAAAGGGGTTGGATCAACTCCTTGGGCACTTTCCAGACATACTACACTCAAGCCTTGCACAGGGCACCGAGCGACGTGTCGTGGATAGGCTCAATCAATGTCTTTCTCCTCTTCTGCGTGGGCACCCTCACCGGCCGTCTCGTGGATGCAGGATGCAGGCTATTTCCGTGCTGTTTTCTTGCTCGGTACCGTTCTGCTGGGCGTGGGCATCTTTGCGATTTCCGTATGTTCCGAGTATTGGCACTTTCTACTGGCCCAGGGCCTGTGTCTGGGCATTGGCCACGGGTGTCTTTTTTGTCCCACGTTGGCAGTTCTGTCCACGTACCTTCTTCGTCGAAGAGCATTGGCCTTGGGGGTTGCTGCTTGTGGCAGCGTGACGGGTGGACTCGTGTCAAGAGTCTCTCAATATGCTTCTCATCCTCAACGGTGTTGCACCAAATTTCCTAGCGGATCACATCGGGGCAATCAACGTTCTCGTCGACCAGGCGCCCTGGGGGTTGTGAATTGGGTGGCCACTTGGCCGAGACCACCATTTTCCAAGCCTGGCTTCTTGCCTGGGTATAGGCGCTCCCAACTCGACCAAGTGAATTGACAGATTGGGCAAAGCTGCAGATGCATGTGAGCATTCAGAGTTCCTGAAGCTCTAGCGCGAGGCGGGTCAGCTGGCCATGTAATGCAACTACCGGTGGCGTGCACCAGACTTGAGCACCGGGAAGTGGCGAGAACAATCGTGAAGGGTGTGCGCGCTTGGCGATGCCAGCTCTGCACAAGGCTTTTCGTGACTCGCAAAATTGGTAGTCTGCATCTTACTGTGCAATAGTGTTGTTGCAAGGCGATGGAAGTTGCGCCCACTTTGTGACTCCTGTGGAGAAGACTTCGAGATTTGGGTCCATGTCGTGTTCGGGACTTACCTAAACAATGTACTCTCCGTAATTACCTAGGTACTTTACCCAGGTGTGTACAAGCTGGCTCGGATCGCTTTTGGTGGCGCCCGGCCAAGCAAGCACGGGGTCACTGGCTGTGGCGGCAGACTGCCTGTACATGCACGCACACTCTAAAATAATGCACACATGCATGCTGATCACAAAGGCTGACGGGTGGCCCCTTGGCTTGCGGTGGTCCTGGTCTGGGTCTGGCGGCCAAAGTGGCTGGCTGGCTATGACAACCTTTCTGTTCCTGAAAGTATAACCGGTGCCGTCTTGTGCATCACGAGTACGACCTCATGTTCTCATGTGTCATCCTATAAGACTCATTCTTTTTCTACCATCTACGCCCCTTTTCTCCAACGTCCTCTTTACCGTGTCAGTATATCGCCTGGTTTTCCTGCTGTGATTTTTTTATTTCTCTACTTATCGGAGGCGTCTGCTAGCAGTTTTGCGGCCTCTCTTCCAGCACGCAGCGTTTGTCGATGCCGCCTGATCCTGCCTCAATCCCCCAATCACCCGCCCCATCTGCGACTTGCTGATCCATGGTAAGTAACTTATTGCCAGCCTAGCCATACCCAAGAAATCTCCGTTCCTCCTCTCCTCCCTCGCTTCCCCCCCAAGTAAGCTCTCAGATTTTGACCGTTCTCGCAACAGGAGTCTGAGCAAAGCCCACTCCTCGGCAACGAGAACCAATCCCATGAAAATGGCAGACGTCATCATAGCCGAAGGGATTCAAAGTGGTCACGACTCCGCGAAATCGGAATTTTCGTTTGGGCCTTGATCGCTACTGCTGCCGTCATTATCATAGCCATCACCACCCAGCATGATCAACAGACGTCCAGGCCAGACCCCGACTCTCGACCAACCAAGCGCAATCTTGTCTTTATGGTCTCAGACGGCATGGGCCCTGCCTCATTATCACTGACCCGCAGCTATCGTCAGTACGTCGAGAGTCTCCCTGAGCACGACACACTCGTCTTGGACAAGCACTTCTGGGGCTCTAGTCGGACACGGTCAAGCAGCTCCCTGGTCACCGACAGTGCCGCTGGTGCCACCGCCTTCTCCTGCGGCAAAAAGAGCTACAATGGTGCCATTTCAATGCTTCCCGACTTTCAGCCTTGTGGTTCTGTTCTCGAAGCTGCAAAGAGGGCCGGGTACGCCACGGGGCTGGTCGTCACTACCGACATCACCGACGCAACGCCGGCCTGCTTTGCAAGTCATGTCTTGATTAGGCAGATGCAGGACGCCATTGCCTTGCAAGAAGTCGGTCATGGACCTCTTGGCCGCTCAGTTGACCTCATGCTAGGTGGTGGACGATGCCATTTCATGCCCAACTCTACTGCCGGCAGCTGTCGTTTGGATGACATTGATGTCGTTGCCTTGGCGCAGGAAAAGTATGGGTGGTCGTATGCGGACAGCCGCCCGGCTTTCGATGCTCTCCATGCAGGTCAAAATGTCAACTTGCCGTTATTAGGATTGTTCGCCTCATCAGACATCCCTTTCGAACTGGACAGAAGGAACATGAATGACGTTTATCCAAGTCTCAGCGAAATGGCCCAGACTGCACTACGTACTCTGGAAAAGGCTACTGACAAAAGCGATAAAGGCTTTTTCCTCATGATCGAGGGTAGCCGAATCGATCATGCTGGCCACATCAATGATCCCGCCGCTCAGGTACGAGAGGTCCTGGAATACGATAAAACATTCAAGGCCGTGTTGGATTTCATCGATGACACTACTACTGAAACCATTCTCGTTGCAACCAGCGACCATGAGACCGGTGGGCTTGCTACCGCCCTCCAGGAGCCTGGCCACCTTCCAGTTTATAACTGGTATCCGCATGTACTCGCCAATGTCTCTGCCTCGTGCGAAAGCCTGGCTAAGTCGTTACAGAGTCATGTGTCCAACATGCCTGCTTCTATTTCCAAGCAACAGCTCAAATCATGGATAAACGAAAAGCTTGTTATTCCCGGCCTGGGTGTCACTGATGCCACCGATGATGAGCTTTCGCTTCTTGCTGATGACCCCGAGGCTTCTGTCAATACCTTTGCTGCTATTATCTCTCTTCGTGCACACGTTGGCTGGAGCACGCATGGTCACACAGCCGTCGACGTCAATGTCTACAGCTCTGGCGGCCCAGAGACTGAACGAATTCGAGGCAACGTTGAGAATACCGAAATAGGACACTTTCTCAGCCACTATCTAGAGGTAGATGTTGATGAGATCACACAGGAACTTCAAGAGAAAGCTCGGATCAGCGGCGACAACAGATTTCATGCAACTCAGGATCCAAAAAAGACTGGAGATTGGGCGTCCGATAAGTATCATACCTTTGAAGACTGATGATGAGACGGAAGCGGGATATTTCACATTTATATTGCGAATTTTACGAGTTCATGCCTCCAGCAAAGGGGGCCGGGGGGGTTGCAAGCATTCACACCCACCACATTGACATCGACATCCGTTCATCTTGTCAGGGAAGAGAGGGTAGCGTATCAGCAGAGTTTTGGTATTACTGTTTAGTGTGCTCATTATTAGTCGCATTCGCCAGGGATGTGCACGGTAAGATGTAAGTTGATTCCATTAGATGGACGATTGTATATAAAACATTATGCAAAGGGTTGCCCGGGAAGCTCTCGAAACGCCTTGCTTTAACCATAAAGTGAAATCATGACATCACCAAGTCAGTGTCTATAAGTGAAGTGAAAGTGATGCGTCATCAGTACAGAAATATGTAACTGTCAACCCCATTATTCGGCACGAATGTGGCAAAAGGGCCGCTAACGGGCGAGTACCGGACTCAGTTGCATGATATCGGCCGGAGCAGGCTTCTCGGGGTCTCTGAGATCGTTTAAGAGATCTGGCATGTCGAATTTCATGGCGTCGGTTGCTGGCCTGGTCCTTCTTCAACATTGTACCGCACATACAACCTATCCAAGAAGTGTGAGTGACGAATTCCATTTGGCCTCGCCTGTGCAAACTTTTCGATCGCCTCTTGGACACTAAACCCGCAACGCTCAACAAGATAGCACACTATGAAGTAGCCAGTACGGTTGAAGCCATAGTGACAGTGTACGCCCACAACACACTTCTCAGGATGTTCCCAGCCCTCTTTATCAGCCCGCTCCATCTGGGCATTCCGTAACTTATCAACAAGCTTGATAAACAGTTCGACCTCTTTCGGCTGAGGCGGAATCTTGGACACAGTGGGGAACTTGTGGTAATGCACACCACCTCGTTCGAGGCCTCGCGGGTCATAAACCGGCTGGTCTCTAGAAATATCGATGACATCCTTGACAACATGACTCCATGTCCCAACGAATTCAGAGGGGGAGTGCACGTCGTCGGCTTCTCTGAGTGTCTTCAAGGCGCGAAAAATGGGACGTCCCTCGGGTCCAATTTCTTCAGATACCGGCGCGACTGACTTCCACTTGATTAAGTTCTTGACGTCCCATTTCCCCTCACGGGACAAGTACTGCAGCTGCCAAGCTAAGGACAATCTTTGGGTAACATGACAGGCGAGGAAATCTGAGATAAGCCCGGCCAACACTCTTGAGCACCGTGGCATGTACAGAAGAGCATGGTTCGCTGGTGAAGGCATCACGAACGACTGGACTACCGGCGTCGGGTGAGCAGGCTGCGGAGGCACAAATGCAGGCGATTCTAGCGGAGTCGACGGCTCATCATCAGCATTATCGATGCTGTCCGCTCCAATCTTGTCCGTCGCAAAACTCTCCTCTGTAGGATCGTAGATTGTATCGCTGGTCTGCGATGGAACCTGTGTAGGTGACTGGCTCGATATTGCCAACTCTTCCTGATTTGTGTGTTCATCGTTAGATTGCGTGCTATTTGTACGATGATTCAGCACCTGAAGGATCTTGTCGACCTCCCCCGGTGGTGTCAAATGATCGTCTTCGCCCGCAATAAGATATACCGGCACCTTCACCCCGGCCCACGTATCAAGGCTGGGCAGCCCTCCTATGGGTTTGCCATTCTCATGGACTGGAAGAGCACCATATGCCATACGTCTCCAGACCGGGGTTCTGCTCTGTTGGTTAAACCGATATTGCATCACTCTCAACTCCAAATCTGCCTCCTTCCCTACAAAACGGGACACACTCGGACTGTACGGACCTCCGATACCGTCCCAGGCTCGCCAGAGTGAGAATATCCAGCCGGGCATCCACAAAAGTCGCCTCAAGAGAGAAGACCTTTGCTGGTCTGGGGGACCCGCCGTTGGACACACCGCAACAACGGCGACAACATATTTTGACAAACTAGTCTGATGCGAAGCACTTTTGCTTGCAAGCTGCGCGGCTAGCATGGTACCCATGCTATGTCCAATTAGGATTATGCCTTGGCCATGTTCATTATCACGGTGATCCTCAATTACGAGCTCCAATAATTCACCCAAGGCTTCCGGTGTGTAGGCATCCCATGACGTGACAGCATATCGTGAACGCCCTCCTCCGGGAAAATCCACGGATAGGCAGGAAGCGAGGTCGACAAGGCTATTCAACAGCGGATAGAACTGCGCAACAGAACCGCCCAGACCTGGTATGCAGACCACGAGCGGCAACGGCGCAGGCGTCCTTGGAAGTTCTGCAGCCTTGGGATGTGGTCTGAAAAATACCCTTATATCAGGATACTCGAAACGACTCGTCTTGTACGTCTTGAGCTGCGAGTGATCTCTCAGCAAGGGCGGGTCCGTTGTATAAGGACCCGTGTCGACGTATTCGCCCGCTGTGGGCGGCGGTTCATGCGCTCCAGCCATCTAGAGTGAGGCTGTTTGGGAAGAGCTCGTTTGACGATGTTGGTGTTGGGGATTAATATCAGGCTGTGCTGAAGTTTCCCAGGGCCGCAAACGCACCGCGTGTAGGGCAGGCATACGAGGGCGAGACAGTTTCGCTGACCAGCGACGGCCAAGTACCGTGTGACGCTTTAGACTCTCGGCTTGCGTACCTCGAGCGAAAATTCATGCTCTCGAAAATCATTACAAGGGTGTAGGAACGGTGAAGTCTAGAAAGGGCTGCGTTGGGCAAGCTTCTAGGATCATGGCCAATCAATTGTCACGTATGCGCCTCTGACCACTGAGACTGGCAGGAACAACGCGCCGTACTGTTTTGACGGGAAACCCGCAATGCGGCCCTGCTCTGCGGAGGACCTGCCTGGTACTTGGTACGCATGCAAATAGCTTACCCTGCAACCAGCTCGCCCGGTTATGAATACTACAATAATTGCTGAGCAGCAGGATGGTATGTATCATTGTGCGGGTTTGACACCAGTTTATGATTTTTTTAAGCTATGCCAGAGCCACGAGTATCATTAACGCCCGAACTGGTTGAGGTTTGCTGTTCGAGGATTCAGAAACGAACACACAAGCGAAACACGTCAAGGGATGATTGAATTCAAGCGCACACAAAATATGAAGACCCAACCCGAGGAGAAATAGGGGAAAACTTCCACATAGGGTGGATGCAATGATTATATCCATACAAGTTATCTACACCATGCCACTAAGCCAAGCACCAAGACGTTTGAATTCGGTGTGGCTATACAAAGCAATATCAGAATATGCATGACAACACATTTGCCAAACGAGGCACCTCATGCCTCAGCTCCTACGCCCTCCTTCCACCCAATGGGTATCAAAGCTGCTGCAACCTCAGAGACCCCTCGTTCGGTGGCAAGTAGGTTGAACTGTGCAGCTGCGTTTCTTGTGTCTAAAACTTCCACCCTCATCCCTTGCTCGGCAATGTGCTTCTTAGTTTCTGGGCTGAGTGGCAGGTTGTGCTTTCCGACACCAATGACGAGTAAATCTAAGTAAAGAGGCCCGTTAGAATGTGATGGCTCAGGATGTATTTTGGCGTATTGCCACCGCCATGGGGCCTGGGTTGACCGTGGCGGTGATAGCGAAACAAGCCTCGCCAACAAAAGGGCTTGCCCAAGAAGGAGCGCTGGAACATACCCGGTCTTGGCCAGAGGAGATCAAATATCCCGAATGCCTCCTTGGGGAGATCGAATTGACCCTTCCTGTTTACAAGCTCCATTGATCCCGTCGCCTCCCATGGCCTCCACGCAAAGGCCTCCCCGTTCACCAACAGGGCTCCATTACCACCCGTGATTGTAAGACCGCTATTAAGGCCAAACCCGTCATACATGCAAACATCGACCGATGTGGAGGGCGCGGGCATGTCCCCTAACATGTCCAATTCGGAAAAGTTGGTTGGCGGCGGTTCGGACGGTACATCTCGCCGTGAGCGGAGGAAACGGGTACAGGTCTGCAGTGTTCGAAGATGATTCCCATACCCAGTATTCTGCGTACGAGCCCTGGGTAAGGATGCGGCTAGAGCTGAATGCTGCGACCGAAACGTGTGAGACCAATTGCGACAGCTACGGCCCCAGAATGTACGCTGCCAGTCTCTGGAACAGCACCGCAGGGCACTCGTCATAACTTAAATCTTGTGGACGTTGCTCGGCTAGAGTGAGATCGTAATTTTGATAGAGCTGAGAAGACAACTGAGGTCGGATTTGCCGTGCGTACCGGAGTGTGGGATAAAGATGTAGTTGCGTATGATCATTCTAAGTTCGCGTGCGTCAGTCCTTGGTTTGTAGAAGCTCCAGTGAAATTCACTGGGACGCCACTTTGGCACAGCCTGTCCCGCGATTTGACAGCAATGGTTATTCTACAAATTGAGCGCAGGCGACGATTCTGTCAGTATGGTAGAAGGCACGGTAGCATCCAATTTGGGAGAGTGCTTCTTTTTCTCAGGCCATTTTCTGTACGACATTCACTCGTCCCTACCCTAGGGACGTATACATATCTTGGTAGGTGATGCGCGCTGGTATTACACATGGTCGCAATTACATCATGATCATAAATCACATCTGGACAACAAATGCGCTGAATCGTTGCCGCAACACATTGGTGATCGATCCGAAAAAGTGCCAACTTGATGTTTCTCATTCGAATCACCAAGAAAGAAATGCAGTCTTAACGACAGCAGGAGACCGGATTTTCCGGCCCAGTCCCCAATGTATCATGCAGTCCCTTTTTGTCCTAATGAACACCAAAGCAATGAACCGTTCCCCTCAAAGAGTTCCTTGCCAAACACGCAGTAAGCCCGACACTTCACTGAAATATGTTTATTTCTTCTTCTGGCTCTGCTCCTGTTCCTTCAGCACTTTCTTGACAATCTTCTGCTCCTCGATCAAGAAGGCTCGGACAATACGGTCACGGACACAGCCGCCGCATCTCGATCCTCCGTAGGCACGCTGAACAGTCTTCTGAGGCTTCGAAATCTGGGAGTATTCTCGGGGGCGGAGGGCGGGAATCTAGTACCAAAGCTTGTTAGCTATCTGATTTCCAAGTTCGGTTTCGCGATAGGACTGCCCGCTGCCATGCGCCAATGATCTTGAGACTGAGGTTTAGGTCTGTATGGCCCTATGGCCACGCCATTGCCATGTTCCCAAACGCATTCATGACAAAGTGAGAAACCGTCATGCCATCTGGCAACACGCCATCCCCTCAACCAGTACTCCTCCTATTCGAATAGATCGTTGTCGGGTTCGGTAAACACTTACGCCAGATAGCTTGGAGCCACAGTCGCCGCACTTGGGGACAGTGCCTCGCTTCTTAATGTGCAACAGTCGGAGCTCGCCACCGGGAGTCTTAACGACTCGGGTTCGGTTGGAACGAGTGTTGTAGCTGTGAACAACATGTTAGCTGTATGGTCGTGGATGCAAATAACATGAAATTAATTTCGCATCTAGACGCTGACTATAAAACTTACCCGTTGCGGCGGCGGTAGGTAACTCGTTGGGTCGCCATTGTTGCTTGTCGTGCTGGGAGTGTACAATGAGGATCTCACCGGGGAACGATGAATTTCGAGATTTGGGTAAAATTTGTGTGGGCAGAAAGACAGAGTTGTGCCCGCTAATGTAGCGAATCAGAGTGAATATCTTGGGTTACTGGGCCCACTATCAGTCACGTGGATGCCGCAGTCTACCAGCTCGTCAGAGGCTGCTGGCAGAGGGGTCGAGTGGAGCTGGCGGGTTCCGTGAAGCCTCGCAGACTTCGGATTCGCCGATGTCCAATGCAAATGACTTACAGAAGTCAAATAAATCACTATAGTATGGGGATATATATTACAATATTCTGAACATAGTGACGATGTGCTGGAACCGCGATCCTTCAGCAGGATGTCTGGATTTGGTGAGTTGAGTGCATCGCTACGAACTTAAGGAGACTCTGCTCTTTGGGTGTTCGATCAGCAACGGTGAGCCATCTGCCCCAGGTATCCAAGGATTGTTTGGCTTGAATCGCGGTAAGTGTCACGAAGGTCACACAGTATGAGAGTGACTAAGTCAGAATGATCTTGTGACAGAAGTGCAAGCGACAAGTTTGAAACTTCCTGGCTCCTCTCCGATATCCCTTAACCGAGTGCGCCGAACAGTAATGACCCAATAGAATACATATAGAGACAAGAAGAACCCGTTGCATTAATCCTTATCCATCTTGAACCAATCCGGGTGGTCTTTATGTCTCCATTGCTTGATACCGAGCGGATTGTCCTGCCTGCTTTTTTCTGCTTGAGCAAACACTTGTTTGGTTGTTTCATCTCTCATCAACTCTGTGAAGTCCTTCACATCCATCTGTGCGTCACTCACTGCCTTCACGAATGCATTGAACATAATATCAGCTAGATAAGGCACCCCGTTGGTAATAAGTCCAAGAATGATGCGCTGTGGCTATTTAGGAAGACTTACGAGACGGCTGCTTTTGGACGAGAGGATCTAGCATTTTGGGAATGGTATCTCTCAGTAATCGCGCCTAAGGTAGACTTTGTTTAGTATTGATGGAATAACAGGGTGACTCTAGACATGGAGAAAATGGGGATGAAAGAAAGTTAGGTCGTACTTTGATGTACAGGAGTTTGAGCCGCTTCATTGCTTGGTTCAACTGAGCCTCGTCCATGGATTGGCTGGTGCCTATAGGCAAGCCAGCTGATGCTCCTGGCTGATGATTCATTGCGCAACGGAGTAATATTGCAGACGCGTCCACTGATCTTATATATTTGAAGAGACGGTAACGCACAGAAACGATAGGAACGTGTCGTGTGTACTGTTGATTCCAGTCGTATAGCAAGGCTTTGGCTTGCCGTCGTCGTGATATTATCTACCTAGGTAGGCAGTAGTTGATGAGGCGAAGAGTAGGGGAATTGTTTTGTGGGGCTGGGAGAGGGAAAGCCCGACACGACCCAACCTCTGTGACGGCAGATTGACACCCTAGTCATTGCTTCCCATGGAGTATTGCCCCGTTTATTAACATGTTGAAACCAGAGCTTTACCCAAGTCCTGGATGCTCAAGCAGAAAGGGGACAACCCGAGGATCCTCGCATATCCCATCTATTAACAAGGCTTAGCAAGACGCATTAACTAATACTTTGTGCCTTCTATTTCATGCGCACTAGTGTAGTCTGGAAGACCCTTCAATTGCTTATAATCCATTAATTAATGCACCTGGCGAATGCAGCAATAGCAGACCACATGAGGGCCTCATCCTTACCTGTAGATGAGAGCTCCTGTAGACTGTGTTCCAGGAGCTTTAGGTAGGTTGGAAGGTACAACTGTGGAATATTGCGCGAGCCAAAGTGTCCAACGCGGTCGTCCACGGTGCCAGCGGGGTCTGGAGACCCCTGTTGCCAGACCCTTCCTGCACCGTGACTGGCTAGCACTCGCCGGACCGGATCAACACCAAACCTTATTAACTCGTCGACAGTGCGGATTGGAAAATCCCTACAGCCCAACCTCTTGCACTTGGGTCGATTGTACCAAGCTTTTACCGCATCCAAACGACACGGCAATCCTTCTGGGACTGCCTCCCCGACTATTTGCACACAGGGACAGAGAACGGCCGTCGTTATTGCGACCTTGACTATCAGCACTCTCTTCTTCCCCTCCCGTGCCTGTTTCAAAAGTCGCGCCACCGTGGCCCAATCCATCGCGATGCCGAACACACCGCCGCCAGCTCTGCTTCCACCCCCGGAAGGCATATTTCGATCTTTCGAGGATCTTATGGCTTCGGTTCAGAGGGTCGCCAAAGATCAGGGATATGGAATTGTCAAGCTTCGCGCATCTAATTATCGAGACGGAAAGCCGACGCGTTATGACCTGGTATGTGATCGGGGTGGAGTCAAGTACAACAGTACAGCCAAGAAGCGCAATCCCTCCACACGCAAGATCGACTGTCCTTTTCGTGCAAAAGCCGTATGCGAGGTGCAACTCGGAAATCAGTGGAGATTCGCTTTGCAGGAGCCTCGCCATAATCACGAACCCCGCGTTCCATCTGGAACACCAGGCCAAGAAAATGCACCATTAGCAACGACTATTCGCTCCTTCACAAACAAGTTGGATCGGCTGAGCCATGACATCGCTCAAGGGTTTATACGCATCGAGCAACGGTTGGATAATATCGAGAAGCGAATGGAAAACCTGGAGGCTCGAGCGGGTGGTTACGAACCCCGATTCCAAACGATCGAGTCAAGACTACAAAATATGGAGGGGCCGCGCATGGATGGCATGGGAATGGATGACGTTGAGTCGCGCCTATTGGCCTCTACGGTCATGTAGGATGACGACCATATTGCTCATTGAGCGGTGACTTCTCGCCCAGCATGGTTCCAGGCCGCTTCCATCCAACAATTTGGCTGTACAGAGCAATTGCGCGGGCGTCCATCGTGCAAGGTGCTTTAAAGTAGCAAATCATTCGATCTGGCTGCTTGGTTTTTTCTTCTTCTATGAACGGTCCCGAATGGGTAACCGCGTTTTCGAGGATGCGAATGGCAGCGAAGGACAAGAAGAGGGTATGTCACGATCTCAGACGTACGTTTTTTTTTTTTTTTTGAGGCGGATATGATTCTTAAGAATACCCATGGAGGGATTCATTGTTGGCGTTTCGGAGATTTACCCTAATGTCGTGTTTCGGTCTTGAATCGGCGGGACGGGTTTCTATGCGAATTTGTGTTGTTTTTGCCCCTGATTTGCGCTTATTGCTCGGTTTCATTTATCACAGTTGATACTGCTTGCATCCCCACTGTTTTGGGAGAACAAAGGAAACTGTACTGTTATGTAGAGACGCTGCAGCCATGGAGATCCTCAAGAATGATTGTTCTACCAAAGAATTCAAATAGAGATTGCGACATCTATATTTCCTGCTCCGGAAGTATGAGCTTTATTGTGTTGAACTGTCATCGAGTCTTGTCTCAAAGCTGCTCGGCAGGGTTTCCCTTTGGGGGGACCTCAAGTTGGAATAAAGACATGGAAAGAATCATGGCTACGGTTAACTTCAACGTTTTCACATGGGACCAGACATTGATATCAATCAAATCCGCTGCGGGCGCCTTCAGAGGGTTGAGCTAGGCGCGTAGTAGCCTGGAGCTGCATGGTTGAGGCACATGTGGGCAGGGAGGCCCCACCAGACCTCTCCAGGGACAGGCCCAGCTGCCAGCTGGCTGAGCTGTCTGGGCTAAACATTTGAACCAAGACATCAATTGATTTCACATTGTGCCGTGTCCTCCCGGATTCCATCCTTGTAACACCTACACACACACTGAGAGCATTTCACGTCACTCTGATAACTAACCAAACGAATCGGTAGCCTCCTTGTCTCTCCCGGAGGAATTACCTGTACCGCATCTGCATGATTGCTTCGTTGACTATTGGCTGACATGAACCCCGACGCATCCTCCGAACCGTATCATGGCAATCCTGTCCTTCACCCTGAGCGAAGAAGGCGTGTCTGCCTTTCGTGATGCACTGATATGTCTGAACAAATTCAGCGATGATGTATCCCTAGAAGCTAGAAAAGACTCAGTAAGATCGTGCTCCGAGGAGACGGGCCCCATGCTTTTCAGTCACTAACAGCGTGGGCTCTATAGTTCGTTCTTACAACCTTGAATAGTTCCAAGTCCGCCTATGCGAGCTTCAAGTTCGCCACAAACAGATTCTTCTCTAAATACCAATGTCAGCCCATGGGCCAATTTCGCGACAGATTCTATTGCACACTATATATCAGGGTTGGTGACTCCCTAGCTCTTGAAATCATCTCTACAACCACTCTATCTGCCCTCATACCTCTTGTACCGTCCTAGATTTTGTTAGAATATATCATTCTGCACATAGTACTAATTTCCATGACGTATTCAGTCACTTATATCACTATTTCGCAGTCGTTCAAGCTCAGAGAGTCAACGAGATGCGGAGAAGCAGACACTTATCGACAGGTGTGATATCACCGTCGAGGATGGGGAAGGCATTAAAAGCCGTTTCATCGCCCGTATTGTGTTTCGGAATGGCTTGACATCAACTCATCGCTTGCCATTCGAGGTGGCTGTACCCGTTCACGCAAAATTTAATAGACAAGATGCACCACACCACTGGACAATATCATCAAGGACGCTTCGTCAGCTCATGGACCATTTCGGACCCGGCATCGAGTACTTGGATATCAATACTGACGGTGACCATGTCAACTTCACATGTTTTAGCGAAAAAACCGTTAATGAGGACGGTATGAAAGACCTCGTCACCTCTGGGAGAACTCACATAGCACTAACATCGACTGGCAGCGGTGCTAAAAAAGCCGTTGCAGACCTCCATTGCTGTTGAAACAGATGAATTTGATGATATCGACGTTGAGGATAAGCTTCATGTCGTCATTTCTGTCAAAGACTTTCGCGCCATTGTTCAACATGCTGGGATCACTGGAAATGCCATCTCTGCCCGATATTCTCTCCCTGCGAAACCCATATTGCTCTCTTATGTTGGAGATGCTTTGGCTTGCGAGTTTCTTATAATGACAGTAGGGGAACGTGGAAGTAATCCAGCCCAAAAGACGAAAAAGGGCCGCAAAGCAACAGCAGCAGCAGCATCAGGTCCACGTTTAGAGGCTGCCTCTCGTAGGACCAGCGTTGCACCAAACGAAACCACCACGAATATACAGCCTTACCAGCTTTCACAATCTGCGCCATCTATCGCGAAACCCACGGTACCTAACCCAACGCCCCATCCACATATAAGCGCTGCTAGGGCCAGCGCTTCACGAATTGGTGCCTTTGATCTACGGCCGTCTCAGAAGCCACCACCGCCCACTATCCGCTCAGAAAGCCTGTTTGTAGATGATGATGGCTGGGAGCCCGTGAGAGACGAGGAGGAAGACGTGGAACAAGACGCAAGGCTGGAGTGGGATCATAGTGCCGACCCTGTATGTCTACAATGTTCTCCATTCACCATACACCCAACTAACCTACAAAAGAACCCTTCAGCGTTGCAGCTGAGCCGGATCGAAGAGCGTCATGCAGCCAGCGTTGGGCGCCAAGAAGCGGCAGATGCCCAAACTGCCCCCGAGTCAACATACTTGGAGCCGACACAAAAGCTTTCAGATGTTAAGAGCCTCGCGTTATTTCCGGACTAGAAGTATGAAGCGGGAAGTGGTTTATAGGCTGCCGCCTCGATGCCCGGGTAGAGGAGGGAGTTAATACGACGCAGTCAAACTCGTCCTATGCATATCCAGCTGGTAGCACAGCCCGCACCAATCCTAGTAATCCGAGAATCCGCAGGTATAAATTTCGAGGATGCAATCACATTCCAACGGCCTTTGACGTCGTTGTTTTCCACCCGTGGGCCACAATTCCCATGTTCGCCCCAACCCCATGAAAGCACATCGCCATCTTGTGACAGAGCCACAACATGCTCACTGCCAATGGCAATTTGCTCCAGACGAGGTAGATTGGGTGGTGGTAGTTGACCATGATCATCTCTCCCCCACGCTTGCAGAGTTCCGTCTCGATTCAATATATAGACGGCTCCCCAGCCTGCCCCAATATCTGACCATGAAGATGTTACACGGGGACTCTTGGAGACAATCCCCCACTTGTCCGACCCTAATATGCGAACCTGCCCACTGTTTGGGGCCCCAAAGAAACATGTCGCCTCCTTGGTACAAACCGCGCGATGTACGCCGAATCCGATATCAGCTACCCTCCGAGGCTTGTAGATGACGCCGGCGGGTGCTCCCACTTGTGATTTCCGACAATTGCCCCAGCCATAGGCATCGCCATTATCGAGCACTGCGACAACATGTCCCATACATGCCGCCAAGTCAATAATTTCTGTCCCTGGTGGAGGAAAGTCTTGTAGTTGAGTAGCTGTGGGCGTTCGAACAATCAGTTCTCCTGCACCAAGCTCGCCTTTCATGCCGGTCCCGAAACTGAAGAGTTTGGTGCTTCTCCCGGTATCATCGCGGGAAACAATAAATGAGGCCTCCCATGTTGCGGCGATGAGGACAGGAGTTCCTCTGATGTCATCGTGTCCGCTATGGACCAGGCGAACTGGCCGAAAGACCGCAATCTTCGAGTCGTTGCTTGAGATTCCGCAAGCTCCAGCAGACGGGTCACCACTCCAGAATAGGCCACCAGACTCATCCAAGAGAAGAGTGTGGTTACCGCCAGCGGCAATTTTCATTATACGGGAGCCCAGAGGCGCCGGTTGGAAATGAACCTGCTTCGGAACGGATACATCCTCTTCATGCCCAATACCAAGTTGCCCAGATCCATTAGACCCAATAGCGAAAACATCCTCCATATCAAGCGTAAACTGGAAACAGTCAGTGGATACCAACTAATACAAGAATTGCCGAGCGAGCTAGCCACTTCAACTATGAAATTCCCAGTCTGGTGGTAAGCTGAGATGATGTTCGTCGGTGAGATACAACATGTAGCATCGTTAAAAAAATATTATGTACATGCCTGTAATGCGTCCCTTCTAGTATTCTCATGCGGGTGGCTGACCGCAACCTCTCGTCAGTGGGTCCTGAGGTGTTTTTTGTGAGGGTCTCAAACTGCTTACTAACCAACTGGCGCCCACTTTAGTGGCCTGTGGTTTCGTATATTAATCTGCATTTTTTTCTCCCTCTTCTCAACTTCTACTCTGCACATTCATCCGTCACAAAGTCTCCAAGCTCCAGCTGGGAACGTCGCGCTTCCAGACGGGCAAAGCGCAGGCGCAACTTGCAAGCATACTGAGTTCCATTGTTTCTGCTCGTGTCTTCAATCAAGAAGCAGATCAATGGCCCCTACATCTCAACAGATCCCGGAAGGGATGGAGAATTTCGTTGTCGGATTGATTGGAATGGGCGACATGGGCAAGATGTACGCCGATAGACTATCTGCAGCAGGCTGGAGGTAAGTGTCGCGAGCATCATGCTTGGTCTGCAAAGGCTTGGAAATAGTCTTAGTATCGGTAAGTTTGGCCATCTTGTTCTTGCCTCTCACCCAGCCGTCCTTTCCCAGCTTCAATGATGACTAGAGCGCATTTGGCTCGAGCATTGTTCGTGGTCGCCCTTGGGCCGTTCCGGTCCCTGAGCTAAGCCTCGTGCTCTCAATGATGTAAACGCTTGCTACCTTAACAAACTTTTGTCTGAAGAAGCTACAAATCACACATGTATTTTGTTTTGCAACCAAGGATTCACTTCGTGAGCCATTAAGCTAACAGGAGAGAAGATAGGAAATTAACAAGAGCAATCCTCTAGGATTCTTGCTTGCGATAGAGAAGATAGATTCGATAGCCTCAAAGAACAATATATTGGAAAAGTACGACCCATACTGCCTGTTCAAGTTGCTTTCAGTCCTAGTTCTGTGCTGAGGATGGCTTCAGAGCAATATAGAAGTCTGCCGCAACGGCCATTATGTGTCACGAGCCAGCGACTACATCATATACAGTGTCGAAGCTGCCATCATAGACCGTGTGATTGCGCAATTTGGCCCTTGTATGCACCCAATGACTGGAGCCCTTCCCATCCTCGTATATATTTCTGACGTGTGTATGCTCTCGTGGTAGCGACGAAGATGGGTGCCATCGTTGGCGGCCAAACGTCTTGCAAGTCTCCGGAAATAAAAGCTTTTGAGGAGTACCTGCCGCCCGATGTCCATATCATATCTTGCCATTCACTCCACGGTCCTGGGGTTGATACACATAATCAACCACTGGTTCTCATCCAACATCGCGCGCCGGATGAGGCTCTGCGGAAGGTGGAGGCTGTTTTCAGCTGCTTGCGGTCCAAGTATGTTTACTTGACAGCGCAACAACACGACCGTATCACTGCGGATACACAAGCTGTTACTCATGCCGCGTTTTTGTCCATGGGCAAAGCCTGGCACGCAAACAGTCAGTTTCCATGGGAATTGAATCGCTATGTAGGTGGCATTGAGAACGTCAAGATCAACACCATGCTTCGCATTTACGGGCAGAAGTGGCACGTGTACGCTGGCCTTGCCATCCTGAATCCTGAAGCCAGAAAACAAGTGGCTCAGTATGCTGAGAGCGTAACGGCATTGTATAAACTCATGCTGAAAGGTGATCTGGAGGGGCTTCGGGTCAGAGTGTACAATGCAAGGGATAAGGTATTTGGCTCGGCTTCGAATTGGGGTGCCCGTCCATTGATCGAGCCCTCGATATTGTCCTCATTCTCTCTTGGAAAACCAACAGACGCACCGCCCAGGCCAAACAACCATCTCAGCCTCTTGGCCATGGTTGACTGTTGGGCCGCGCTGGGCATTGTGCCATACGATCATATGATTTGCAGTACGCCTCTATTCCGCCTTCGACTTGGCGTAACAGAGCACTTATTTCTCAATACGGCGCTGCTGGATGAGACATTAAAAACAGCTGTCGAAGACAAGATGTATCGAAGCGATGACCTTGAGTTTACATTTGCAGCACGTGGTTGGGCCGAGTGTGTTTCACTTGGCCACTTTGAGACGTGGGAAAAACGGTTCGTCAGCACACAAGAGTTCTTCCAGCCTCGTTTTGCGGAGGCCAAGGTTGTAGGCGACCAGATGATGAAGAAGGTTCTCGAGAGTTACGTGGAAAACGGTAAATGATTTTTTTTTATGTGTGTAAATGGTAAGCAAAGGTCATATGAATGGCAGGACTATTCCTTTCCTTTTATGCCGACGGGGCTTTAGATGATTAGACCTGAGTAAACAGAAGAGGAGCAAGCCCCCTCTAGATGAACGCTCATGCCTCGCATGCCCTGCATGGGACTGTTCAACTTACCCGACGGGACTGATATTCTCATTCAAGTGACAGTCAGGCCTGGAGGATGATGTCAACAACAGCAAATCGAAAACCCTACTCTAATCAGGTCGCATTTCGAAGTGACGGACTGATACTCCGTACAGTAACAAGCCCGGGACGCGATAGCTTATAATTCCGCCGTCAATACGGACATCAACCCACATCTATTTACGTTTGAGGGAGAGCATGCTCGAACAGCTCGCTCATTTGAATCTGGTGCAAGTGGCTTGCTAATGTCCATAGCAACTCGTTGCTCTGGAGGAACAGCCTCGGTCATTTACGCTACGTGGTACGGAGCACAAGAGTATACAAACAACATTGAACCAATAGTGCCTTGTGAACGCGCCGCGAGAATGGATCAAGACCCATAAAACTCCAGATCTTCACCAATCAAGATGGGATTTACTTTCGCCCGACCTCCCGCGTCATGGATGCGACGTGGATGTGTTGACGATGGCGGCCAAACAATCTGACATTTATAACAGGGAGAGTATTTATCGAGATTTGGGGTGCAGTCATGGGGTTAGAGGAGAGATGGTCGCATTTGCATAGAAAGAGTTACCGCGGCTATCGCGCCCAATCTCAAGTACCTCCCTAGGTACCTAAGTAGGTAGGCGCCCAGGTCGGTCCTTAGATGCCGCCTCTGTACTCCGCATGGCTGGTCTACCAGCACCAGAACGTCCTGGAATAGCCGCGTCGTTAGAAACTTACGAGGCAGCTTCGTCCGAAAACAGAAGGGGAGTGAGCTTGCGGTGCTTTCGGATTTCTTGTTCAATTAGGCCGATACACATGTGGCACATGCATTTCTGCAAGTCTATGGAGTACGTAGTGAGGGCAACCTAGAGATGCTTGGACATGTGTGGCCGTAGCGTCCCCGTTGGAGGTTGCAAGAACATTTGATTCAACATTGATGTTGAAAGAAGCGGACCGTCAATGGGGATTCATGGAGCACCGGGTGCTGAACAGACACCGCCCAACATTGGACCCACACTAGCTTCCAAGAATCCGAGGTTTATGTATGTACTTGGTGCCGCATTGATCTCTGTACACGCTACTTGACCAAGGAGGAGGCATTACATATAGTGCACAAGTCACTATACCTTGAATGGCTCTCCAATTTGGCAATCAAGGTACATACATACTCGCCTGGCACCTACCAGCGGCTTCAGCAGCCAGGTATTACCCAGCAGCGGTGCCTGGCCACTTCTTCAGGCTCCGGGCATGTGGCCGTCAACTGGTCAACGCCGTGCGTCGACTGGTCCGTCGGGGCTCGAGCTGGCGTGTTTTGTCCCGAGGTGTAAACAAATCAATTGGCCAACCCTCCCCGAACAGCCTCAAACGGCACCAGGGCACCAGGGCACCAGGGCACCTACATACACCACACCCACCCCCCTCCCTCTCTTTTGCGACTTTCTGCGACCCGGTTCCTCTTGTTCCATCTGCGGACCTTCCATCCATCGTCCATTTGCCCGTTTATATCGCCAGCATTCCTCGCGCTGCCTCTCCGTACCTCCGTGAGGACCCTCATTGCCGCCTCCCTCCTGTCTAGGCCGCCGCTCGTCACGGCTGGATTGCATCCGAAAAGGCCGCCCGCCGTCTCACTGCACCGCTGACTGCTCATTGCTCTCGGGGCTGCCATCATGTCAGTCAAGTTTGAACGGGATACATTGCGGCAGACTACGCAGAATGTCGCCTCCAACGCTCTGCCCGACGGCAAAATTCCCGGCACCAGCGGCAAGCATCCTTTGGCTGAGAAGGTTGGCACAGCCCTGACGGGCGGAATCCAGAATGCTGGCACCAAAGGATACCTCGCTGTATGTCACTCTTCCCTTCCAGATCCCCATTTAGAGGGAAATCGTGCATTAGATTTGCAAGACTGACAATTATTGTCTTTTTTTCCTTTTTGCGAAATATAGGCCTACATCAAGCAGCTCGAGTCGAATCCCCTGCGAACAAAAATGCTCACGGCTGGTTCCCTTGCTGGTGCCCAAGAGCTCATTGCCTCATGGCTCGCCAAGGACCGCAACAAGCATGGCCACTACTTCACCTCCCGCGTTCCCAAGATGGCAGCGTACGGTGCTCTTGTCAGCGCGCCGCTTGGCCACTTCCTGATTTGGCTTCTGCAAAAGGTCTTTCGAGGCCGAACTAGTCTGAAGGCCAAGATCATGCAAATCATTTTTAGCAACCTGGTTGTACGTATCTCCTTGAAACCCTAGTTCCATCAGGCATTATATGGTCTTCCGTAGACTTTCGCAAGCCTCTAAACAACCAAATTACTAATCTCACGGTTTGTCACTTACCGCCTGTAGATTGCACCTATCCAGAACAGCGTCTATCTCGTTGCCATGGCTCTGATTGCTGGCGCTCGTACCTATCACCAGGTTCGTGCCACCGTCAAGGTTGGTTTTTGGAGAGTGATGCGCGTCTCCTGGATTACGTCGCCTATTTGCCTTGCCTTCGCTCAGAAGTTCCTGCCTGATCAGCTCTGGGTGCCGTTCTTCAACCTTGTCTCGTTCGTCATTGGCACCTATATCAACACCGTGACCAAGAAGAAGCGTCTTGCCGCCCTTCGCAAGAAGCACTTCGGCGACGGCCGCCCAGGCGCGAGCATGGGACGCCCTGATGATTATCCTCCCATGGGGGGCCCTAACCCTCCTTACTAGAACTGTGCCCACGAAAGACTATCGCGATATCTCGGAGTTCGGCGTAGGCTTGGGATGGGTACATATATCGATATGTGCTACGCGCGGGGGCATGGTTGCGATATGGACGGCATGACATACGAGCGGATAAGAATTGGACAAGGACTATTGCGGAGGCTGTTACCTGGTATTGATGACTGACGCAGAATAACTGGGGGATGCCTCTACCATCTCGCAGAAGTCGGGATGCACCTGGCAAACTATTGTCCAATATGAAAAGAGGGTGGAAGTGTGAAGGTATCGAATCTTCCTTGGGCTTGCGGTTTCTGTACACAAATCTTGTTTTTGCTTTTCGCTGGCTTGGATATGGTTGTTGTACTTGGTTTCTATGTTAATATCTAGTCTCATGACGTAGATAGGCCGTTGGAGAAGGGGGCGGGCCATAAATTATAACTTATTTCGGCTGCCCTTTGTGCCCATTATTGAGCTACTACAGGCCGTCTATGTCTGGGTTGCATGTGTACGCTAATACGATTTTTCCTGGTCCGCCTTGGCAACTTGATACCAACGTTGTCGGCATGTTTCCTGCTATACCATGTGCGTCGATCTAGTGGCCTCAACCCGTCTGGGAGACACCATTTAACAAGCAACAGCCTCAGGGAGGACCAAACAATAATAAATCAGTCTCTGATGGCAGCCTGTTGGCGTATGGTAGTCCCCAAATGAGACCTGCGCGAATCCGAAAACCGTGACTGCCTTGAATCATTCAAAAACAGCCCGTGACCATGGCTCAATCGGCCACGGGGGCATGCCCTTCGTCTATATCAACCATGAACGTCGGACTCCAATACTCCCACTCTCCACCGGTCTGCTTGTCCACCCACAGCATGCCTTCAGCCACCAAGTCGTCAATGACTGTTCGACAGCGTGCCCGCTCCCAGCTCAAGTTATCGCAAAGCATGCTGACACTCACGTAGCCCAAAACCTGGGCGGCTTCAACGGCAGCAACCTGGTCATTGCTCAGCTCTCTGGGGACGCTCCGGATGTACTCCTTGCGCCCGACACGAACTATGCCGTAGCTCCCGCCCAGCGGCTTCAGCGTCTCGACGGCGCGGCGGACGTCGTCCTCCGAAATGTCGCTGCTGTTGCCGGCGCTGTCCACGCGGCCCAGGGACAGCCGCTCGCGCACCTCGCGCAGGCCAATGAGCCCGCCGTTCTCGCCTCTCGTCGCGCTGCACATCTCCACTATGCGGACGGCCAGCTCAAAGTAGAAGTCGTTGACCGTCTTGCCCAGCAGCTGCGCCCAGATGGAGCCCCCGGGGCCGCCTCCGCTGCTGCTGCTGCTCGAGAGGGGATCGACGCCGATGGCGGTACACATGCGCGCGAACTGGGCGCGGAACGACGGGTCTGAGCGGATGTCCTTGGCGTGTGTCTGCGCGAACTGCTGGAGGAGAGACCGGAACACGGCCAGCTGTGTCTCGAGGGCTTGCGCGTTGTTCGCGCGCAGAGATGAGCCGTGCGATGCGTAATGGGCCGACGTCAGCCTCGACCTGTCAAAGGCCCCGATGCCGACGCCCTTTCGTGACATTTTGACAGCGGCGGATGCGGCACAATGTATCTTGTAGCAAAGTCCGGGCAACAGGTCGGGTCTTGGCAGCTTTGCGTGTGGCTTCACATGAGTGTTTGTAGTTGGGGGGAAGGTTCTTTGGCTTTTGGGTAGACTTGGCTGGATGTCAACTGGTCCTTATCAGTGACGTGTGACGGAACAAGCACTGTCTGGTGGGGCGAACCTTCCTAGTTTGGCGACAACCAAGAAATACATATATAATACCTCCCACATGAGTTCAAAGACATGCAACCTCAAAACATGATTCTCGTCCACAGAAAACACACAAAATATGCCTAGGATCTGTAGCCCGGAAGATAGCCAATAAATACCTCCTGCAGACTTGCTTGTAATATCCTGACTCTAAGGGTATATTTAAAAACGTTGGTGATCTGTTAATATCATATGGATATATACATGTAGTAGTAAACAGCTTACACAATTCACCCTTTTCCCGAATCTGAGTATTCTTTTTCTCGCTGTCGTCATTAATATACCTTGCTAGTTTATTATTTTCTGCCCCGCAAGCCACCGTTTTACTCTAGGTTTATGTTATCGTTATTTATACCGCAAAAACTAGAGGCACGCAATCAAATTATTTCGTTCTGTTCCAAGAATTGCCCGTTTTGCCATGTGCCGGAATGATTCTGCGTCGCGAGATGCCATTATTCCCTCCGAATCTTACTGCGTCTGGCATTGAGGTTGGCCGTCATCTTCGTCCTCGTCTCCCCACTCGCTTGCGAACCGAGGATCTCCAGAGTTTTCGCCCATCTAGAATGCATGTTAACAGCTGCCAAAGTAAGTGAGCACTGAGACCTAGCGGAATATCATACCTTCTCAATGTCGGCTCCATCTTCATATTCCAGTTCATCAACTTCCTCAGCCTCGATAGGAGGGGGAGGTGGTGGCAGCATTTTTTGCAGGGCTTCATACGAAGCATCATCCTTTAACCAACCATCCTCAGGGAATTCCACAGTTACAAGAAGGTAAAGATCTCCTTTCACCTCGCCTCGCTTCATAGGCATACCTTCGCCAGCGATTTTTAAGCAGTCGCCGGGCCGCAAGATTTTGTCTCGCGGTCGTTCGATGTGAATTCCTCGGCCGTCAAGGTGCTTGAGTACGACTCGAGAAAAGCCTGTTAAGGCTTCCGCCAACGTGACCGTGAGCTCTGCCGAGAGGTCGTTACCTAAGCGCGAGAAAGTATCGTGATGCTCCTCTACCAGAGTGAAGACAATGTCGCCAGGTATTTGGTCTGGATACTGATCTGCTTCGCCTTCTAGAACAATTCTCTCGCCCTGCATTGACCCTCGTGGAATGTATATCTCCAAGGCTTTCTTTTCTTGCATCGTCCGCTTCCCCTTGCACTTCCTGCAGCGATCCTTCTCCTTAAATACCTGCCCGGCGCCTTGGCAGTGATCACATAAGACGGTTTCTCGTCTCATCATGCCCGGCCCGATCTGTCTGATTGCCTCAACCATGCCATTGCCTTTGCAGCGTTCGCAAGTGGTTGATTTGGCTTTTTCCTTACCACCAGATCCCTTGCACTGACTGCAAACAACCTGCTTATTAGCGGCGAATTTGACTGTCTTGCCCTTGTAGAGCTCTTCAAGCGTAACTTTATATTCCTGCTCCTCGTCGGGTCCGCGTCTCGGCCTTTTAGGACCCCCAGGGCCGCCCATGTTAAAGCCAAACATCTGGGAGAGTATGTCGTTGAGGTCTACTTCGGGTCCGCCTGGACCACCTCCGCGGGATGGATCAAAGGCTGCCATGCCGTGGGCATCATAAAGATGTCTCTTCTGCTCATCGCTGAGAATTTCGTACGCTCGTGTGATTTCTTTGAACTTGGCTTCGGATTCCTCGCGTTGTTCTACCGGAACTTTATCGGGATGGTATTTAAGAGCTGCCTGTGTTTGTGTTAGTAGAAGATGGAGAATTTTTATTTTTTTTTCCTCAATGATGATCGCAAGTGGGCACTTGGCGTACCTGACGGTAGGCTTTCTTGACTTGGTCCTGAGTCGCATCCCTCTCGATCGAGAGAAGACCTATGACAACAGTTAGAGGGATGGAAATTTTTGAACATGGAGTTATCGGGCAAATACCGTAGAGGTCAATCTCCTCTTCGCCCATAGCACCCGACATGGTTCGTGGAGGCTGAAATCAAGTTGTTGATGACAGGATCAGCATTCAGCCTGGGAACAAGTCGATGTGGAGCAGGCAGGCTCTGCAGAAAGCAGAAATCTTTGGAGGCGCGGGGTCTTGCCAAGCAAGCCTTGCAGATTCTAACGTTATTAGTGGCCGTCTGCCGTAATTCGCGCCGCACATCCTACGTGGACCAGACAAGGCTACTGTTACATGACTTGCCGCCTATCAAATTGCCTGCCTGCTAGGTACTCTAGAGACAGTGGGAGGCCCAAATGTTTGACCAGATCATGCACCTGGCTATCACGCTCCCCATACTATAATTTATAGTACTATACTAATTTTTTTCAACCTATCCCAATATTCGTTCCAGCACTGCGTCATGTAAGGCCCAACTGTATATATTATAGCATATTAGCGTATGCTTCCTGGCGGGGAAATATATACATACTGCCACCGACTGTGTCTATCTGGTAGGTACTTCTCGGTGTAGATATGAAGCCTTTATCGCGATAAGTTCATCCCTACTAGTACTACTTGTAGGAAAACGCCACAGTCAATACAAATGTTCCACGAGGGATACGCCACATGTGGCGCGCTCCTATCAAAGCTTCGTAATGTCATACTACTAGAATCCTCAGCTAACTTCAAGGATAGCTAAAACCATCCAAGGCTACAGCGTATAGGGGTCGAGCCTTGCTACCTTGAGCCATTCATCATTGATGATGCCTCTACTTGTTAGAGCATTTTCAGTGACCAAGTCACTCGCTGGTTCAAGATGCATGCCGACGACCCTCTGCCTCAGTTGCACCAGCCGATTCGATGGTCATCGAGCCATACCTGTGCGCCGAAGTCGCAAGTTCAGTCAAGCCACTTGCAATGACATGTCAAAACTACAAGGGAACGGTGTAGCCCAATGCAGTAGTCCAGGAGCATCTGGCAGCGAAAGTGGATTAAAGGCACTGAGAAGAAGGAACAAAGCGGTCAAAGAAGATTCTAAAGCTGCAGGACCAGTAGCACATCGAATTATCTTGGGCCAAAGCTCTGAATTGCCCATCCGAGCCCGTTTTGCACCATCCCCAACAGGATATTTGCATTTGGGCTCTCTTAGAACGGCTCTCTTCAACAATTTAGCTGCCAAGGCGTCAAATGGCGGTGCGTTCGTTCTACGCATCGAGGATACTGATCAGGTTAGTGGCTAGTTTATCGCCAGTTTCAGCTCTCTTACACAACTGACTATTGCTACAGAAGCGTCTGGTAGATGATGCGGAGGAGCGTTTGATCAAAGATCTCAAATGGGCAGGTCTATGTTGGGATGAAGGTCCTGACTGCGGCGGTCCGTTTGGACCATATAAACAAGTGAGCGAAGAACCAAACAACGCAGCAAGATGCCAAGGCACCACAATCTAACCTAAGCAAAGTCGGAAAGACTTGATATCTACAAGGCTCACGTCCAAACTCTGCTTGACCATGGGCACGCTTACCGTTGCTTCTGCAGCCCAGAACAACTCGAGCTGCAAAAGCGAGAACTCCACAAAGCTGGGAAGTCTACCGCATATCCTGGGACATGTCGCTCTATTCAACATACCGAATCAGAAAGACGAGCTCGCGACGGAGATCCTCATGTAGTTCGTTTCAAAGGCGATGGCTTTGGCCGACCCAAGTTCCGCGATGCTATCTATGGGTTATTTCAGAAGCAGGACCTGGAAGAAGATTTTGTGTTGTTCAAGTCCGACGGATTTCCTACCTATCATCTTGCAAATGTTGTTGACGATCATTTAATGAACATAACTCATGTCATTCGAGGAGAAGTGAGTGCCTGCTCTTGATCATTATAGACAGTGGTATAAGACCACGTGCTAATGGTACCCAGGAATGGTTGATATCGACACCCAAGCATCTGGCACTGTATATGGCCTTTGGGTGGGAGCCTCCTACCTTCGCCCATCTCGGGCTGCTAGTCAACCCCGATGGCAGCAAGCTTAGCAAGCGTAACGACAGCGTCAACCTCTCCACATATCATGACAAAGGTGTCTTCCCAATGGCTCTGCTATCATGGCTGGCTAACTTGGGCTCCTCCTTTAAACCCAACGTCAAGCCGCCTCGAACCATTTCAGATATTGCCGATGCTGTATGTTAATTGTGACTGGCAAATGCTCATCGTGTGCTAATCAAGGAGAGCAGTTGACTTTCAAGTTCACTCGAGGGGGCATAAAGCTCAATATGGAGAAACTGGACCACTTTGACAGTAAATATCGGGACGCCATATTGTGGGACCCTATATCTGACCTGTCAGAAACGGAAACTAGTCTCATTAGCGACTATATTACCCAGCGCATGCTGCAGGAGATCGACTCGGTCACCGAGAAAGCCGCCGCGTCTGAATTGCTGCCCCGAGAATGGCGTAGGGCACTAACTCCCGTGCCCGCCTTGGCCAGCCAGGAGAATAGAGCAACTTACGTTTACAACATTTTTGCGACCAAAAAGGGAGGGTTCCTGTCCGCCGAGGCACTTGTACGACAACACCCCTATCTCCTCTGGCGGGTCCCCGAAACTGTATATAAACAATCGCTTGCATCGATCAACCCAGATGAACGAATTTTACTAGCGCTTAGCTCTGCGATCGACGACAAAAAGCTCTGGGCTAGCCAAGGTGCTGAGGTGATGGACGCCATTTGGACAGCGCTTGAGGGACAAGGCATCGACAATATTACGGTGCACAATACGTTGAGGCTCGTGGGTGCTGGTGGCCACGACGTCGTGTCTCAAAGCAGCTCCCGGATGTTTATGCTTCTTGGGAGAGATGAGTGGCGCTTCCGTCTCAACACTGTACAGAGATTGCTGAACCACGCCTGACCATTTGGGTCGGAGCATTATTATTTCAATACCCCTGCAAGCTTCTCGGGGTAGTGTCTTTACATTGTAGTGAGCCTGATATGCGAAGAGGATATCCGCTTCTTCAATTTTGTATACTAGTTGTTGCCCTGCTTCGGTGACATCACCCGAATGCTCGGTCAAAATCATGCCGTTTACTGAAAGCAGTGTATTTGAAGTATGGCTATAGTAACCTAATTCCATTCGTCTCAGTATGAAGGCTCCGAAACCCTTCCTGGAAGGCAGCCTATAATATGACTTCAGGCTCTAGTGACGCCAGAGGTAGAGGACCTGACCCAAACCAAGTTTCCAAATCCAGGAGAAGTGGCAAGTAAACGCTTTACAACCGTATTATGCTTTTAGTTTATAGCAAGACACTCAAACTCTGTTTCTAGGGGGTTGGATACAATCCCGTGATCTGCAACAAAACGAAACTACTTCACTTCATTGATACCTTGGTGAAAGTAAGGCGCCGTCGGAAAAGTAAAGAATGGAGGGTAAACAGACAAAGAGAAGGACGGCGCTGTTCGATTCGCGCATTAAGATGTGAAAGAGTAGGTGTGTTATTGTGAACAGAACTCATATGAAGAGTAACAAAATAAAGTCGTTATTGAAAGATATAGTGAAAATGTATACAGTTCACATGAGTGTTGTTTTCGTAGATTTTGGATTATTAGTTCGTAATTATGCTGTTAATGCAGTTCACCGCATTGAATGTGCTTCATAATAATTCCGGGGTATAAAGCTAAAGATCGAAAATCCAAATCTGGTTGGTTTGTTAGCAAACTGTACGGAAAACTAGTACTGTGAGGAGGCCCCAACGACCATGTACCATCGATGGGTCAAGGTGTTTGGGCCAGTCATCAGAAAGTATTGGATCAAACTTACCTCCATCTTAGCAACTTCTAGTCTCTGCCTCTTGGCCTGGTTAGTTGCACTCTGAATCGCCATTTCCAAATCGTCCTCGTCTCCAATAGTTATCATGTCTCCATCAGGCATATCCTCATCCTTGATCTTGATCTTGAAGCGTCGTCTCAATCCAAATTTATCTTTTATTCTGTCCACCAAGTCTTGAAATTCAATCGCCGTGCCAATCATAAGGTATCTGACATCATCGGCATGAACCTTGACACGAATCTTGCGAATCTCAGGTCGACGGGAAGCAGCGCGAGAATCTGATCTCGAGCCTTGGCGCCTGCGATTATTCGACACCATTTCAAACTCAGCTCCGCCAAGAGAGCCATCATAGTCTGATCCGTCGTCTTCTTCAGGATATCGAGGCTGCTGTCTAGAGCGCGTGGAAGGACGGCTGTCTCTCGACATACTTGACCCACCTCCCCTGCCTTGGTACATGTCGTACAGATCAGCCGGGTCCGCTTCGTCCTCTTCCTCGATTGGTCTGGTTGGGCGTCGTTGCATTGGTGGGAGGTCTCTTCTAGAGAAGCCCCGAGACACTGATGATGATGCAGACCGAGTCGCGCGAATTTCTTCGGGGGAAGGAGCTTTCTCGTACTTCCGGCCAATATCTTGCGTCTGAATCGTCAATTTTGCAGGCGTCGGCCTTGAGCCGTTCCGAACACTTCCGCGATTGGGTCGGTCATTTTCAGGAGGAGGGGTGGGTGGAAATACATTTCGGCTCGTTGGGGGTTCTGATTGCTGCCGCCGTGACTGAATACCGGGCTTAACCAGGTTCGTTGCGGCAAAGGAAATATTGTCCGCCGGCCGGTCATCTTTAACTTCGTTCTGACCAGCCTTGGCCATGTCAGGCTCTCGTACAGGAGACGAAAGGGTGCTGGGGACTTACATTCTTGATTTCTGACCCCGTAAAACCAGTAAAGGCATTCGACCGATCTGACGCAGCTACTAGTCTTGCTTTACCTAGATAGTCCTTGGTTTTCAAGTTTCGAACTTTGGCTTCATTTGGTCGGTAGACTACGCCAACTGGGATAGAGAAAACGGTATATCCCTGCGACACTCGTTGTCAGTACCGTCGCAAACATTTGGCGCGGGTAGTTGGGACTAGTCGTACTTCAGCCTCTTCGCGGATCGCCTCATCTATAACATTGTGGTCCTCTACAACCTTCTCCTTCACCGCATAAGATAGATCCTGCATTCCAGCCTCCCTCTGTTGCAAATAAATGTAGCATAAGCCTCTGTTGAAGAGTACCTCGCAAGAATAAAGCTTAAATAAGAGACCGAGCTGAGCATAGTCGATCATTGTATTGCCCCGCAAGTACAATAGCGTATCGTTGAAATTCGCGAGAGCCTCTTCGAAGTCGCCTAGTAAGAAATTGGACACACCTTGCTGAAAGTATGCAACAGCGAGATACTGGTCAAGGCGAATGGCACGCTGATAACATTCGACCTGAACAATAAGTGTAGAGTCATGGTTAGTCGTCATAATCATGTCTCATTTACTCCTCCAACATATACAACAAACAGCTCGATTGCAAATGTGGAAAGGAAGCGTGGAACTCACAGCTTTCTCATGTTCGCCTAGTGTAGCGTGGATAACACCCATATTAAACAGAATCTTGCTTGTGTCGGCGATCCTGTCGAACTCGCCGAGAGCGTCATCGAACTCATTGTTGTCATAACGAGCCAGGGCCGCCACCCATGTCTCGATTTCCTATTCCAACCCCCCTTGATTAGCACGAAGTCTATGTCGCATTCCTCGTTGATCGTACTTACCAGCTTCAAAGACATGATGGATTATTTCGACTCAGAGACGCGCCAGCGGTCAATGAGGGTGATTCTGCGGAGACTGTGAAACCAAGATATCTTGCCTCTATGCGCCAGACAGCTTCCCTCGGAAGTGAGATCAAAAGAGGCGGGTGGCTAGTGTCGTCAAATTCCAGGTATATCCACCAATTCGTCCGTCCTTCCAAATTATCAATGGATTTCGCAAGCTGGGGTGCTGGTACAAAAATATGGGGAAGTCGGCGTGCTGTGCTGTAGAACCCAAGATAATGGTTAGGAAGAGCCCGCCTGCGGTGCCAACGAACCCTAGGAGTGTGACGGTGACAGTAAGGCTGCGAAGCAAGCCAAGTATTTGTCGACACAGACTTGGTTTCTTGGCCACTCGCCAAGAATGAATCCTGGAATTAGGCGACCCGCATCTGGCGCGAAAATTGATAATGTGACAAGACAGCCAGGAAGGCTATTGACAACGGGGTTGCGGGCAACAGATGGTAGCTGGCAGGAAAGTTAGACGACTCGTCGTTGCCCTTCGAGAAAAGGCGCCTCCAGGGCGACGCAAGTAGTGACACTGAGGATTGTGGTCGAGGGTCGGTGGCCGGCGGCCGGCGGCCAGTTTCGGGACGTGACTGGTAGGTGAGCGTCTGTCAGGCAGAGTAAGAGTAGTAAGTGGACAAATTGGCGCCCTGCCTGCCGTGGAGATGGAAACCGGCTGATGAGCTGGATGAAGTATCCTATAAGCTGGGTTGCTTGAAGCCTGGTGGTGTTGTCAAGGACTTCATGGGTTTTGGGAGGCGCCCTTTGGCCTTTGGTTCAAGGAAGAGTTGATAGCTGGCGACTTATCGTCTGTCGACTGGCGACGGTGGCTGGTGGAAATTAAAGACGAGGCGGGATTCGGGCAGAAGCTGGACAGGACGGAAAAGACTGGACAACGCTTCCCAGGCAGATTGCGTAGATGCGTTCTGGGGCTGGCGAGCGGCGGCAGCCACGATGAGAAGATTATTCGTACGTTAGTTATGGGTCTGAGCGACTAATACTTGGGTCACAATGGGCTGCAGCATGGGAAAGGCGGGAATGATAAAGGACCGAGCAACATCGAATGGATTGTGCGAGACGGTGTGGCCCAGGATGCGGGTTGGCAGGTTGGCAAGGTCGAACCGCCAAGCCGGTGGTGTTGGACTCATGGGGACTAGTGGGATGATGATTCATGGTGAATGGATGGATGGACTCATGGCCAAGGAGAAGTTGGCGGCACGGTTGAACCCAGGTACTTGATGTATGTATACACATTAGTGCAACGGCGGAGTACTTGGGCACAGTACGGTACGCGCCTACGCGAGTGAGGTACCCCCAGATACTTTGGACAGGCGACAGGACCAAACCGCAGACTGAGAAACCCACGGGCACCACGCAACCACACACGATGCACGATGCCACAATGCATTACGCCGTAACCGCCAGCAGCACCTGGGCGCTCGAGCTCGTGTCAACTGGTGTCTGGCGTCTCGTGGCGGCGCCGCCATCCCTGAAGTCCAGTGCTTCCAGTTGTCTTCAACCAGGCCCACCGGGTCCATTCGGGACCCAGTCGGCCAGGGGTTGAGGCTTGCGAGGGGGTGACGACGTCTGAAGGAGGAAGTGAGGGAAGTCTTTCCTCTTCTTCCATGTCTTCATTTTTCGAACCGGGGGGTGCCGGGGTCAAGGGGGCCACTCGCTAAAACCAGGTACGTACCGACCAGACACATGCCTGGCACTTTAATGTTCCTGATGTCCGTTGCTCAACTGCCAGTTCCCAAGTGTTATGGAGCCAAATGTCCACATGTGCAGGTTCGAATGCTACTTGACGGCATCTAGACCAACTGGATTCTGAGTCTGAATGTCATCGATCTGCCCTGGCCACCCATCCTTTACGCGCATCAATCAGTGCTTTATCAAGCGCCGCCACCAGACTTGACAAGCCAATATGAATGTGTACGGAGAGCGCACAATGCATTCTCCAGGCCCAAGATGTATGATCGCCGGGTCCGTGTTCCTAGTCGGTTGCGATGCCCCGTCGGCAGCATGACGAGTGTTTTTAAGTAGTCTCGACGTACACGGCACCACGGCTCCGGTGCCACGTCGAGCCCTCACCAGCTTGATATCGTGTCACCGGCGTCGCGTCGAGACGTGTCGTGGAGTCGAGGGACGACGATCCTGTGCTGGTTGGCAAATATGTGAGCACTACGGCCATCGATGAGGCTAAGAGACGCCACCGTTCACACTGATCAAACGAACACGCGGAGTGCCGAGTTTGACACTTTAACTCCAGGAACCAGAACGAGACTGTATGTAGGTTACTACGTACGTAGTCCATCGACTCGTCACTTGAGCATATCACCACAGAGGGTCGCCATTAGTCTCGAAATTCTTCACGGTTCCACTCAGCATGTTCAGCTCAAGGTGTCTGGCTGGCTTGATCGTCTTTTACGGGTTCCCGATCCTGTGTCAGGACAAGCAACTAAGCACTGCATAAGGGCAAGGCTCGTCCTACGTTGGTACCACGTCCGTACGACGTATTCGCACTGCGCTTGCTACGTAATATTTTCATGTGCCCTGGGCACCGCAGCGCGCAGCACGCAGGAACATCAAACTTTTGACTGCAGTGTAACCCATCTAATTACAAATTCATCACCTGGCACATAACCATGCCCTGCCTCCTGCCTGTGCGTCAAATCCTTCCCGAACTTTCGGGGCGGCTTTAAATCTCAAGGTGCCGGGTTTATTAGTGTTTATTGAAACTTTGTCAAATTTCTTGCATGGAATGCCAGCCTGCGGAGTGCATCTACATGCAATGGTGACAGAAAATATTCACAGGCTCTACAGGCTATTGTATAGACTTTGACGCTCAGGCAGTAATATAAACTCTCCTGTGTATCGTCATCAGCCGTCTCCATATCACGGGTTCCCTATCGGCCATTTGTAAACTAAATTTTCACCATACCCGATCACTGGATAGAACCTGTGTGATACACTTTTCCTCACGCTGCGTTTGTATCAGTATCTAAGGCGCCTCTTAGTTTTTCTCTTTCACCAAGTTTTTTTTCCTCCGGTTCGTTGCCTCTATCCCCTCCAAGACACCATTCTTCACCAGAGACGGGCCGCGAGGTGCGGTTGAGTGGCGTTGGGCATTGGCCAGGTGCCAGGCTTTGGCGTCAAGCTAGTACGGAGTGCTAGTGCCATGCTGCTGCAGGGCCCTAGCGAGGCGCTGTCATTGGTGCAAATCCAGCCTCGCCTGCATCAATTCACCAATCGATCCCCCTCCAGGCCGCCCGCCACGGCGCGTACCGTTGGCCTCCTCTGTTTGCCACCCAATTGCCCAAGTACAGAGCTACCAAACCGTCTGGTATAAGTCTGGCCAGGCGTCTGCTGTCTGTCGAGGCAATGCTTGTCGCACTGCCGCCTTCAGAAACGCCCAGATTGCTTGCACGTGTTTCCACCCGACCTCTACCGACGACTAGTCTAATATTTTGCCTGGTTTTGAGCTCTTCACCATGGAGCTATCATCGGCAGGTCATTGGATCTTTCGAGACCAACTGTCCAGAATTTGCAGGGGCGGCCAGGCCTCATGTAAGATGACGTTTTCGAACCCAAGTCCACCGTGTGTCAGCGGGGTTCCCAAGTGTTGACTGAAGCGTTTGTCCAGTGGGATTAAGTGACTAAGCGCCGCCATAGCATACTGTTGTGTCTAGTACTACCTAGGTACGTACTAATACTAGTCTTCTTTTCAATTCCAATCCTCGCGCCTCCCCTGACCTGGCCTGGCCGCATCCCATCCATGTCTGTTCCAACAATAGAATCGTCTAGCACATGCATGTCAATATTATGCCGGCGGTCTGTGTTAACCCGCCAAGATACGTGACCGACATGCATCATCACCTCGCATCATGAATCCATTCGACTGTGATGAGAGACATGTCCATAAACCAAGCCTTTTGGTTGATGCAAGCTAGCTCCAACGTCACAAATATCACAAATGTGCATCCGCGTTATCCAAAAAGATCGCTGTACGTAAGTACTTAAGTACCTAGGTAGTTATTGCCAAGCACTAACCGATATTGATAATGACTTGGTCTATTATGTGCCAGCTACATACTAAGTACACACATATGTAAAAAACCCCTTCCCCCCATGGATGATGGTCCCCTCCCACCTTCCCTCTCTCTCCTCGTGCTTGCCTTTCGGCCATGGTACAGGGTATGGCTATCTGGATGGCAACCCTACGTTCATCACACCGCATGCAACCGTGAATAAACATTGTCAACCGATGCATGATGACAAGACGAAACAGAAGTCGGTGCAAGTGGGCGTACGCAACCCTGCGACGGGGCCACCTCTAACATTCTCGAATCCTGACGACCAGGAAATTTCGTGCTTCTTCTGCTTCTCTTACAGCCACTGATCTGATAATGCCCTCGAAAGCAATGCGTGACCAAAAATCATGCGATTGTGGTGCCACCGCACACAAATGTGGTCCAACAGCATCTGTACGTACCTACCTAACCTAGAATATATTAACTTCCTAGGACAGGGGAATCAATATGGGGGTTACATGGACCGCCACGCCCAACCAAACTAAGCTAATATGTTAAAAGGGACTAGTATATGTTTGCTTTTAGTTTTATTGAACTTTGTATTTTATTTTATTATTTCTTCTTATTCTTAAAAGTCCCCTGCTCTCAGATGGCCCGCCAAGCTTCACTATCAAAACTAACCGCAGACAGTTGGCCCAAGACCGCCCAATGCTCGCCATTCTCCCGTTGCCATTATCACGGGAGATCAATGCTCCCGCAATCACAATACATACGGCGTGTCATCGACAGGCACAGTCCCTTGACAAGTCGCAAGTGTGCTTTTCTGGCAGCCAATCAATCAACTTGATTATTTCCAACTTCATCGCATATTTACCTTGTATATCATGCGGTTCAGTGTCAACTGAAATGAACGTTATGCGGTCATTCCCTCGGCTACTATGCCACAAGTGTAAATCAAGGAGTGACTACGTTTGCAACAGCAGGGGCTGTGTGCATGCTGCGCCTTGAACATTTAGCATTATCATCACGATACCTTGATTCCTCACCCATCAATTCGAAACCGTAGCATGATCCATGTGTGATGTATGTCTCATAGACAACAGCACATTGTGCTTACCAGGTGTTATGTTTGTACGATGCTTGCACGATCATTCGAATTAATTAAAAAAAAGTTCATTCAAAAAACGTACTCATCTACAGCATGCCCTTTCGGACTTCGTCCCTCCTCTCCTCCCACAGTGTCTTTCCAGTACAGGAGCATACCGTCTTATCGTTGTCCCATACACCTGCACTTCGAGCAATAACCCCAACCACGGTGTTGTCGTCATTTTCGAGAGGCCCAGCTGCCTCATTTTGTCGTGTTAGAACCATGGCATGGCCAATCACCTCCCAAATCCGAAAAGGATGGTCAACAAAGGCAGCACCTCGCCCATCTTGACCAACATCAATATCGCCCAAGACACCATTACGTTCGGACTGATCCCCAGACCAGACAGGTCCTGTCGACTTGGCCCCATGTTTGAGATCCCCATATTGACGTATTGTGGCACGATACGTGCCTGGCGCGAGTCCTCGGACAGTCAGGTCTACAAGAGTTCTCCCAGAACTGACCTGAACCATCCTCGCCAATCCTCTCACTTCTCGGTCTCCATTGTCGTCCTCCCTTTGCAATTTCCCTGTAAAACTTTCAAGAATGCTAACAGCGGCGCCTGGTTTCGACCAATGTCAACACGAGGAATCTCCTGGCCAGAAACCCACAAGGGGTTCAGATGAATTCAGAATCGGAAGCCACGGAATTGGCATGGCCGAGAGGGGTGATAAGAAGATCAGGTTTCAAATACGTACTGTCAGATGCGCCGGATCCACGGAGGATTGCATCTCTCCCTGTTGCCTGAATGGCTTCAACGATGGCTGACGGTGCGGCTAGGTTTTGTGGCGAATGTCAGTTGAGATAAACTCGACGCGACGCGCTAACGAAAACAGACTAACCGAAGCCTTCGACGGATATTAACTGATCCTCCAAGCTTCCTTCGACTTTGCTCACACCTCCGAGTTTGTAAATTGAGTCTGAAACTGTCTTGACACAGCCATTACAAGACAATGGCACCGCGAATACGGTCTGTTGTGCCACATGTTTCATCAGCATTCAAGCGTCTCACAAGTGGGCTTTGGGTGTTTTGATGCAACGTGATAAAGAAGAAGCAAACGCGGGGCGGGGTTGAGAAAAACGAAGGAAAAGAAAGGAGAGAGAGAGAGAGAGAGTTGGACAAGGACGACAAAATGACGAGTCTTCCGTGTATCTTCACAACGTGATGCAGTAGCGCAACATGTAGAGTGGCAACCACATGATGGCAGAGCCTCATACCTGGAATGAGTGGTCGACGGTCATTTTGCCTGTGCCAGCTTTGGCCTGTATTAGCGCTGCTGTACCAAAATGCGCGAGACACTAGAGAGATCAAACCTTGAGATCTGGTTTTATTCGAAGAGTAATAGCGGTAAAATGAATACCCTGCCAGCAGGCCAAGAGAGGCAGATAGTACAACACGAGTTGCTGTGCCTGGCATCACGGGCATTTCAAATCGATTCCAGCACCACCGTCGACTACGGGGTACTTGACTTGCTTTGAAATCCACTTGCTTCAGAGAATTGACTTGTCAGGTCCCCGGCGCACCGCCGCGGCCGATGCCCGGCAGGAGTGACAATTGACCCTGTCAGGTGACCTCCAACCCACGCTGAGTAAGCCCCGGTTTAAGCCATCAAACTTTCACCTCAAGCTTGCACATGTGGCCCAGCAAAGGCACGAGAGCTTCATCAGGGCGTTTCCGGCACCATTGAGTGTTTTTTGAAAAGCGCAGCTGTTTTCGCGGCCTCTCTTTTTACGAGAGCCTGCATGCCCTTCTAATTCAAAATGTCTCAGACCCTTGGATTGGTAAGTTTTGCGCTCTTGGCCAGCCATCTTGTTGAAGCCGTCGTTGGCAGCCGCCTCCTAACCAAACTCGCACTTTGCCAGACTCGCCTCGCCTATTCACGGGTATGGCATCAAATATCCGCCTCCAAACCTCACCAGACCCTCACAACCCAGCCAGACGTCACGCCGCCGTCTCTGGGACGGTTAGCATCTCGAATAGCCGTGCTTCTGATGGGCAAGCACAAGCCGATCTGGGACCCTTCGACAGACTGCGGAGACTATGTCGTCGTGACGAATTGCGCGGCGCTGCACACAACCGGCCGAAAGATGTGGCGAAAGTCATACTACAGACACACTACGCGACCCGGAAGTCTGAAGGAGCTCACGATGGATGCACTCATGGAGAAGCATGGAGGCGGCGAGGTTTTGCGAAAGGCCGTACGGGGCATGCTGCCCAAAAACAGACTGCGGGACAAGCGGCTGGCGCGATTGAAGGCCTTTGAGGGCGATGCGCACCCGTACAAGGATAATTTGGTGCGGTTCGGTGGTGTTGTAGTTGGCAGCGAAGGTTGGCAGCAGGCAGTGGAGAAGATTAGAGAGTCCGACAAGAAGCGGTTATGAGCAAGTACATATTCGCGCTCCAAATGCCAGATGATTGGCCCGAGCTCATATTTTTTTTTGTAACACTTGTATTATACGGAAGATGTCTGACGAGCTGCCGGGCATGAATATAATGGCGAAATCCTCGGTTATCTCTTTTTGGGGAGGTCCATGCTTACTGGCGGTCATCAATGTACATGCCTTGCACAAACCTCGCAAGTGAAAACTAACACATACGATTCATCCTATGCCGAGTCCGTGAACATGCTGGGACAACGAAGGAACTCGAGCAATGCAAACGCCTTCTCATGAAGAAAGAATAAGACGGCAACTTGTATTAAGCAGGACTTGACTCGATGATGTGTATGTTTGTATGCGTATAGAATTTGCTACAGACCAGTACAGATTGCCAAAGGCACTGTGACAATGCATTCATAGGTATCATGATATTATCATCCCTTGCGCGGCGCGGTTCAGCACTCCAACTCGGTGCTATTGTCATTTCACATGTTGCACAGCTCTGCCTGCAATTTAAGATCGAGAAACCTCACACTTGATGAGACCATTGGGGCAGGTCTGGGGAACGTAGACCTCGGCGTCTTTGCCCGTGTTTTTTAGACCATTGTGCCAGCTCAGATCTGTCAAAGAGAGAGGGAGAGAGGTCAGTGAGTATTCCAAGCACCATGGTGTTTTAGTCTCGGAAACGAAAGAAGAAAAAAGGAATAATACGTACCAAGTTCAAAGTTGTGCTTGTTGGGCAGCGAGTACGCAACCGTTTCAGTTTCCGGTACTGCATCCAAGATCTGCTCACACATCTTGTACATTGTGTTCTGGACACTGGCGCTGTTGTCCTCGGCAAAGAGCTTGAGGGTAATATTTCTAGCAGAGTCCCAAGCCTTGTCAAACTTGGGAGCGCTCTCTTCCACCGCCTTGAGGTCGGCAAACTTTGCCCACTTCCAGCTGGCGTCGACATCGGTGGCCAGAATACGGTCCCAGGTCTCGGGCAGAGTGGTGTACTCGTCACGGATGAAGCCGTGGAAGGCAGAACCCGTGCTCTTGAGGACGGTGAGGCCTACAATGGAACTGGTGATGCTGATGCCATCCTTGCGGCTCACACGGACCTCGACGTTGCGAGTCTCGCCGGCATCCTTGATGAAGCTGTGCGGGTGCGGCTTTCCATCAACGTCCATACGTATCCATCGGTGAGTGACGACCTTGACATTGGCAACGTGGATATGGCTGTACTTTTGAATGAAGTGGTTGCCCAGGATGGAAGCGTACAGCTCCGGAGGGTTGACGGGATGCTGCTTGGCAATGATGAAAGTGGTGTTCTTGATGGAGTCGGTTGCGACTACGACGCTGTTATCAGCTTCGGTGTAGGAAGTATCAATGTCGCCCTCAAGCAGACAGCAGACGGTCATCTCGGTGACGGTCTGAACCCCAGTGGTCTGGTCGCGGGTGACTTTGAGGACGCGGACATTGTCCTTTCCATAACGGGCGGCAGAGACGTAAGGCATCCTGGACTTGTTTCTGACGGGCAAGAGGGTTTCGTGTCCCATGGCACTTGACTTGAATGCGGATATCGACGCGGCAGAGGGGGTGAGCAAGCAGGAAGCACTGGGCACAACTCGAGTGATTGACGCAGCCGAGGATTCAGAGCAGCAAGCCGAAATTCAACATCAACCTGATGCTAGAACAAAACCAGGAACTCTAAAGCTTGGAAGAGGATTACGTGCCGCCAGAGCCGTCGAGGCCGTGGCGCCTTTATATGCCGGGCTTGACGGGGGGTTCAACAATTGCACTGGCGGTTCCATTATTCTATTACCAGTTGAGAAGACACCGGACGCAATGGGTTGATGACAACATGGCAGCGAGCCAAATCGAATCATCTGTTGCGGTGGCTGCCGGAACCCGCCGAACCCCAGCGATGCGGGCGATGCGGCGACGTGGGACCCCGGGAGGATCAAAGAAACACTGGAAGCCCTGGCCTGGCCTACCGAGTCACCAACTAATGGGCTGCTCCGATGCAGTCAAGTACTACGAATTGATATTTGACGAGTCGGGAATCAGCGAAAATGGAGACGGTGGCGGGGCTTGGTTTGATACGGCCTCTGCAGGCGCTCGCCGCAACCCAGCCGTCTATATCAACTGGCATCCACCGCGAGTGCAATGAACCAGACATGGACGACTCTCGACGGGACTGTCAAAGCCATGACCCGCCAACATGGACGGCGTTGTTGTCGTGCGGCCAGCCCTCAGTCGAAGGGGCCCTCTTCCTCTTGGTGGTGGCCAGAGCAGGGAGAAGGAGGACAGAGCACTTGAGAAGATACCTACCTACCTACATAGGTAGGTACTTAGATACTGAAGTAGATTGGCAGGTCATCTCGGGGCACGCAAGCCATCTTTTAGTGGTAACACCAGAGGTATTTAAATAGAGCCACCTCTTTCCCTTGCTTGCCGATACAATTAACTCGTCCTTAATAGTAACTACGGAGTAGTAGTAGTAGTGGTAAATCAATGGCAGATTCGACCAGATCCCAGCGTTGACGTTTGAAATTCCGGACCCACACAAGCGCTGCCCGGTCGTCTCTCTCGTCTTCGTGCCCCCTCGGTGCCATCCAGGGCTCCACCCACCAGACCTCAAAGTGCACATGCCAGGCACCACCACCAGGCAATGGCGCATCCTCCCGAACACTGAAGTTAGCTTACCTTACCAGGCCAGGGTACTAATCCAGCATCCAGTCAGTACATGTACCTGGCTCCATTGATGTCCAATCCTCAAGCCTGTCGGTGCATTCCAGGTCGTCGCAACGCTTGCCTATCGACAGCCATCGATATCGACAATCAGCCATGAGAAGCGCTACTCGAATTGCACATCTCTAAAATCCGCTCCAACAAGTCGTCGGCTGATGCTGGCCAAGCTGCAGCTCTTCGCCGTGCGATTGCAGACGACGCCGCCCAAGGGACCTTCGGCCCAAACCCCAACGTCCAAACCGAAACCACTTTCCCGTCCAGCATTTATTGTTCAAAGCTGGCGACAGCTTCCTGTTCACGGCCTGGTAGCATTGTAAGCGAGCTGTATCTGCATTGACGCCTTACACTTAGCACTGGGCATACCCATCGACTGTTCTATCGACCTCGCTCACAACGTCTGTCTACTTGCACAAATTCATTGTCAACCACCTCTCCAGCCGATATAGGCCACCACCACCTCGCACCAAGTTGCCTTTGCCTACTTACGCAAAGACGACCAGTTGACCTCTTTCAAAACCCTGAACCTCTAATGCTAGAGCATCTACAGACACAAACTCGCGGCATACGACCCGACACTATCACAAACCCCACTCTCCGCGTCGCAGTAGTCCGATATCGTCTTTCTCTTTGAATTCGAATTCGAATGCACAGAAACCGAATACAGGGCTCGGCCCACGTCGGCGGGAAGACCATCAGTCCACACTCTGCTTTTGTCTAAACCCATTGTTGGGCTGGCTTAAGCATGCCGGGTCAACCCTCCTCCCAACACAATGCACCCAGTCAATACAATCCAACCTCGTCGCAGGCAGGAACTGGCCGGACGAGCATAGATCGCGATGGAAGCGGGCTTCAGCCATTGAACGGCGTGCCGAGTCGGAATTTAGCCGCCTCGGCCGTTTCCTTTGCTCCTCGTGGTAGCAGTCTCAATCCTACTATTGGCCCCGGTAGCTTCAGCTCGGAGCTCCGTAGCCAAACGATTTCGAGCCGTGCAGGCAGTCGCATGGATGTTGGATCAATGTACACCGGCAGTATCATGGACAAGGTCGAGGAGGACGGTACCGAAGCCGCCATGCAACAAGCACTGTCGACTCTGCGGGACAAGTTGAATCGAGAAATGAAGATTAAGGAAGGTAGTGAGAATATGCTCGAGGCTCTGAATATCAAGAAGGCCAAGCAGACCAAGGAGCAGCGTCAACGAGTAGAAGTCGAGTTGAGTGCGAGCAATCTGAGAATCAAGGAGCTACGTCAAAAAATCTCCGAGGCCCAACGTACTAGAGCACCTCCGCCAACTACCCCAACCAGGAACCGAGCCCAGGAGACTATCTTTCAGTCAAATGGCCTTCGGTCACCCCCCAGTATTTCCCGATCTGCCGCCGGTTCAGACCTTGACGACGCTGCCGAGAGCCCGACTTTTGCGCTTGCCGAGCTTCTTCAGGCCCTGGAGGTGGAAGGCATGACACCAGAGTACTATGTGAGTAGGGCAAACCAACTTGTTGATCTATTCAAGCGCCACCCTGCGCTGAAATATGATTTGGTCTGGGCCATCTTTGGGTTGCGCATGCAAATGATGCTTCTCAGCGAGAGTCGAGAGGTTGTGGCTGTCGGTTATCGGGTGGCTAGATATGCTATTTCAGACTCTGCATCCATCAAGAGGATTCGGAGTTTTAACACGGACTATTTGGTCATACGGTATGATTTCCCTTTTCTTTCTTTTCGTCCCCTGCGTTTTAGCCTACATCGCAAACACAGTTCACGCTAAACAATCTTCTCTTCAGGTCTTTGAGCAACTATCGCAAGGCCGATGTGGAAAGAGAACAGGCCCTTAAATTCGTCCGCGCATTCTTGGATGTAAAGGATGGAATTAAAGAGGTTTCTAGAGCCATTGTCCGGACGATTGTTGCTGTAGCGGAGCAAGGTGAGGATAGACGTCCAGGTATACACGCCGCAGACCAAAGCATCGACCGATTACGGCCTATATGCATTGAGACTCTCGCCGAGATCTTGGTTCGGGATCCAGCTCTGTTGATAGCATCCGGAGGCTTGGGTACGCTTTCAGAAGCTTTGGCTGAGGGCACCTACAAGTCTCCCGAGAGCTTAACTTCGGCCTTTCTCTTCCTCCTGGACTCTCCGCAGAAGCGCAAATACATCATTCCGGGCTATGGTCTCGACGTTGTTTTCACCGCTTTTACAGACCTGCTGGCCGGAGCCGACGGCATACTGAAGCAGACTTCCGGGGCCATTTCTGTAGCCTTGAGATCATGGTCCGGACTCATGACCTTGAGCATGTATGATTTCCGACCGATCCGCTCACTGATTGCCAGTATCCTCTTCCCCAGCCAGAACGTTCGAGAAACCGTCCTAGACCTTCTTTTCTCGCTACTTCGCATCAAACCTCCAGCATGGGCAACTTCCTTTTTGGCCGGAAGGCGTCTCACGACGTATGGCCGTGTCGCCAACATGAAGTCTGCCGCGAGGCGACGGAGCGGAACGCTGGATATGGAAGAAGATTCTGGCGAGCAAAGTTTTGTTGACCACTACACAGCGCTGCTTCTCGCGGTCTTCATCAAGTCGGGACTATTGCAGAGTTTGCTGCGGATGGTGCAAACCGAAGAAGACCCCATGCTCAAGCGAAAGTCGACTTTGCTCATTGGGGAAGTTCTGAAACTTTCTAGCCGACTTTTACCACCCTCGTGGAGTGCGGACTTGCAGCTGCTACCGGAGCTGTTCTCAGCAGCCGCTGAGTTTGATAACGAGGGTCATTTCAATGCATCCGGAATTATCTATCAAATTAGTAGTGTCAGTCGAACACTTTACAGGAGCGCTCCGTCAGAATCGCTGGCCGGTGGTCTCCCCTCTAGTGACAGCATGCGAAATTTGGCGAGGTTCGATGAACAACCAAAGTCAAGTAACCCTGCCGTGGCGCTGGACGATGCTACATTTCGTCAACTGCTTATCGATTCCGGCGTGCTCAACAGCTCCAACTACATGAAGTGGAACTGGGAGGTTATTTTGAAAATCATAGATGGTCCTCTTCAGACCGGAAAGCGTCTAGACGAAGCAGTCAAGGCCTCGAAGTTCATGAAGAGACTGATGAGTTTTTACCGCCCGTTCAAGTATAAATTTGCAGAGGTGAAGAACACAAGGGGGACACAGAAATACGTTAGGGCTGGGTGCGCCTTGGTACACTCGCTTCTCCAATCACCCGAAGGGATCAAGTTCTTAGCCGATAGCAAGTTGCTGAGGCAAATTGCTGAGTGTCTAGCTCAATGTGATCCGGTGAGTTGGCTATAATACCAGCAATCGCTTGATGGCTTATTCTCTCTAACTTTTCTCCAGACAAGCGGGCTTACTGCTCAGTTCCCCATGTTTTCCAAGGATCGACTTACCGACACTCTTTGCGGGGGATACTTTGCCATGCTTGGCGTTCTCAGCAGCGAGCCGAAAGGATTGCTTCTGCTAGAGAGGTGGCGAATGTTCAACATGATGTACCACATCGTGGACTTTAAGCAGCGCCCGGATCTGATCAAGTTACTTCTTTCCAACTTTGATTATGGTTTGCAAGGCCATCCTCGTGTATTACTTTCCAAGGCTCTCACTGCCGGAACTAAAGATATTCGAATCCATGCCACTAATGCCCTCCGTAAATGCACCATTGGTCCCGTAGCCAACATTAGCGGCGACAATGAAGTGAGCGATTCGAAATGGGCGATTCGTCTTCTAGTCACGCAGCTCTACGACCCCGAGATTGAAGTATGTTCGACCGCAATCAAGATATTGGAAAGTGCCTGCAACAAGAAGGTATATCTGGAGTACATAGTTCAATGTCGCCCAGCTCTGGATCATCTAGGAGAAATAGGCGCGCCCCTTCTCTTGCGGTTCCTGTCAACCTCTATTGGATACCACTACTTGGATGGATTAGACTACATCAGTAATGAAATGGATGATTGGTTCCTTGGGCGAAATGATTCATATGTCGGGGTCATTGAGGCAGGCCTAGCTCGGGCATTTTTGGCTGACCCAGATGACAATAGCCATCGCTTGAGCCTCTTTGATGAATCGGATCCAGAGGCCGGATTTCACGACAGCCATGTTCCGCCGCATTTCTACAGAGAACTAACTAGAACCCGAGAAGGCTGCAAACTTTTGCGTGACAAGGGTCACTTTGAGGAATTCGTCACGACTATACGCGAGCACGGCATGCAAACAGAAGACGCGGAGCTGATTACCAAAGTCAAGGGGTGTCTCTGGGCTGTTGGCAACGTAGGATCAATGGAACTTGGCGCGCCGTTCCTGGAATCAAGCGATGTGGTTGAACGAATTGTCAAGATCGCCGAAGGGCATGAAGTGATGAGTCTTCGCGGGACGGCATTTTTCGTGCTGGGGTTGATCTCCCGATCCACGCATGGACTAGAGATTCTTTCAGAACACGGTTGGGACGCTAACACGACGTCAATGGGGACTTCTCTTGGTCTATGCATACCGAACGATCTCTCCAAATTCTTTTCCGTCGTACCGTGGCAACACGTCAATGCTGCATCCATAACTATTCCCGATACGCAACGAACTATTCAGGCACAGCCTCCGATCCAGAAAGCCCGCCCACCTCTGGAGCTCTCTGAATTGCCTCCTTTGTTGAGCGATGAGGACGTCAACGGTCGAATTCTGGAACTAGTTGTTGACCTTGGCAACATGGTGCTCTACAAGAAGGCGCTTATGGAGCTGCAGAAGTTAAAGCAGAGAAAACCAAATGCTTTCCGGAGTACAGACTTTTTCAAAAAAGTGATGGGCCTCATGGAATGGAATCACTACAGGCTCGGCATCCGTAGGTTGGTGATTGATCTGTTCGAGAAGAACGTGATGCGGCAAATCGTATTTGGTGACGATGACACCGAGGACAGCGAGTCTACAAGCGGACAAGGGGGTAACGATAACGGTGATGGCAGTTCAGGTGATGATCGAACAGAGCGACAGAGAAGCATCAGCGAGCCGGCAGAGATGCCATCCGACCTCATGCCAGCACCACTGCGGGTGCGAAAATAATACAAGGGACCAAGTAACAGATGGAGCGTATTGGGGTTGTGCTTTAGAACGGCAAGCCGCAACCCATATCACTACCCTGCCAAGTGATGTAGCGGCCTATACAAGCCTCGTCGTTCCAGGGTGGCCGCCTGTATGGGGCTTTTAAAAGCAATGGATCTGGCCTCCTGTTTATGATTTTAATATCCCGGTTTCGCCGCAAATCTTTTTGGGAAACAGAGCCAAGTGCAATACAGATAGCAAGCGAGACACGGCGCTGCCCTTGTGGATATCACAGTGGTATTTTGCAATTTAATTACATTTGGAAATGGGGTAGCATACCGTCAGCTTAAAAAGGGGGAGTAGGGGAGGGTCGAAATGTGGTTTCAGCATGGAGTAAATCGGCCACAGAACGGATACTCTCAATCGCCCATGTGGTTCACGTATATCATGGAGGGCGACAACGGAGGCGTTGGGGAGCGTTTATGGTGCCATTGCGTTAACGTAGGCGGGACTGAATGAATATGACTTGATTTTCTTACAAGATAGCACGACCCGAACCATTCAATGGGCCGTTGTGGCAGATGGACGGGATGGTGATGTTTCCTCCAGCTAAAGTACACATGATGTACGGAGTAACTACTTGACATATTATAGCCGCCCCACACGGTGCGCTTCTTTGGGTCATGGGCACCACCATAGCTGCCAACGGTGATATCGTTCCAAGTTGCAACGCCGTTGCGGAGAGAGTGTACCCTCACAGTCACAACTCGAGGCTGGCAGGATTGAACCTCATATATAAAGGTTACTCAAGCAACAGGAGCCATGGTCAAGGGCAGAGTGCTAGTCATTGCCGGCTCCGACTGCTCCGGCGGCGCGTAAGTAGCTCGTCAAACTACCCATCCATCATCTTATTTCATAACGTCACAAGTGCTTCGTTTTATTCTCGCGGCGTTTCCTTGATTTGGGTCGGCCATGCCACCATCCGGATTCCGCACCGCTAGAATTGGCCAGGCTGACTTTTTACATTTGTCACGTTGATTCTGCAGAGGGTTGGAAGCCGATCAGAAAGTTCTCGCCGCACATGGCTGCTACGCCATGACGGCGACCACAGCCCTGACTGCTCAAAACACCACGGGTGTCAAGGGAATTCACGTCATCCCAGCGGCGTTTGTGGAACAGCAGATCGAGGCTTGTATCGAAGATGTCGGCGTAGACGTAATCAAAACAGGTTTGTTAGATACCACTCATGTGTGGAAACATCAAAACCCCCTCCTTCTTTTGAACATCGAGGACCATCAACGCACTTGTCAATCTTTTGCGTCAAACTTGTTCACGCACTAACACACATGTCTCTCGTCTTTCAACCTAGGCATGCTTGCTGCCGCAGAGACCATTGATATGATTGCGAGACAAGTCGCCAAACACGGAATTACGTCGCTGGTGGTCGATCCGGTAGGCAATACACCCGCCCAGCCCATCACTCCATGCCCGAAGCTGCTAAAGCCAGACGGTCTGTCTTATTAGGTAATGGTGTCGACATCTGGCGCTCAGTTGCTTCCACGCGAGGCTATACGAGAGCTTTCGATGCATCTGCTTCCCCGCGCGACAGTTCTCACGCCCAACATCCCAGAAGCCATTCTGATCCTCTCGGAAAATGGCGACTCTGCCTTGGCCGAAAAGAAGATTTGCTCCGTCTCTGATGTCGAATTCATTGGTCGTCGTATCCAAGCTCTCGGTCCGGAATGGGTTCTTGTCAAGGGCGGCCATCTACCATTCCGTGCAGATATGAGCGTCGCCGAAACTGAGCATGAGAAGCACGTTGTTGTAGACCTTCTAGTCGGGCCAGAGGGCAAGGTCTTCAGAGTACAGAGCCCCTATCAGCCGAGTACTAGTACTCACGGTACAGGGTGCTCGCTAGCTTGTAAGTGAAATGGACTTGCTGTACTGTTTTTGGGTCATAACTTCTCTTCTGTCAAGGTCAAGCTCTCTAACATCTGTGAAGCTGCCATCGCTGCCGGGCTTGCTAAAGGAATCGATGTGCCTGCTGCGGTCCACTCTGCTTGTCGATATATCGAGGCTGGTATAAGGAGCGCACCGAAGCTAGGTAAGGGAAACGGACCACTAGATCACTTCCATTCAATTCAAAGCCTTCCATTCGCTCCGTAAGTTGCCATATCTGCCCCCTTTCCCCCTTCCCCTTTCCCCTCACACCGACACCACACCGAACCCTCCAGGGCTGACGTGCCGTAAACAAGTGGCTATTTTATAGAGTATCTCCTCCAGCGGCCTGACGTGAAGGATGTATGGGAGACATTTGTCTACCATCCATTCGTGATGGCTCTCGGCGACGGAACCTTGCCGCTGGAATCTTTCAAGGGATACATTGTCCAAGACTATCTTTACTTGGTGCGCTACCCTCCATCCCTTTTCTGAAGCCTCTTCAACACCGATGAGAGGGTGCAGAATCTAACACGCCGTACGTCGGGAAAAAACAGGTCCACTTCTCAAGAGCAAATGCCCTGGCTGCTTATAAATCAAAGGATATCGAAAGCATCCGCAGAGTCAGTTGCATGGACAGCACGAAACACTAGTGTCTGCCGTATCTAACACTTCCGAAAACAGGCAAACAAAATCGTCGGCTACATCATCCATGAGATGCAGCTACATGTCAACTACTGCAAGCAGTTTGGCATATCAGAGGAAGAAATACAAGCAACTGAAGAAAAGCAAGGTAAGGAGGCTCGTCCACTCACGCCCTCGCTCCTCCTTGGCTGCCTGAAATTCCTCTTGCATATGACGGAGCCGTACATGAGGGAATCAAAAAGAAAAGCAATAGAAACAGTAAACTCACACTAATACTACCCTCAACATGTAGCATGTACAGCATATACCCGGTACGTGTTGGACGTTGGCCAGAGCGAAGATTGGCTGGCCCTCCAAATGGCCCTGGCTCCCTGCCTGCTCGGCTACGGCGCAGTGGCCCAGATGCTGCATTCCCACAGACTCACCCGCACCAAGGACAATATCTACTGGCCGTGGATCCAAAACTACGTGGCTGAAGACTACACGAGCGCGGTGAGGCTCGGTTCGGGTGAGTTTCTGCGGCGTGCTTGTCCAGGCTTGTAGCTGACATATTTGCGCCGCCCCCCGGCATGCCAGAGCTTTTGGAAAAGCACATGCGGCTTCAGTCGCCAAGCCGCGTCGAGGAGCTGATCAAGATATTCATACATGGGACAAAGGTGCGTTTGTGAAATCAATTGTTTTCGTCATTTGGCAAGTTCCTCATGCGTCTACAGATGGAAACCGGATTCTGGGAAATGTTTCCATACAAATAAATGAGTTTTTCTTTCTTTTCATAGCTGCACCTATGCATTTGTATATTCCTCGGCAGAATCAGCCATGAATAGGGGTCACCATGGAAAAAGAAAAAGGACGTAGAAGAGTGTTCACGGTCATGTCTGTCATCCCAGGACCACGCTTACTCAATTAAATATTGTGTCATTGCTATTATATATGGATATATATATATTTTTCTTTGTCGAAGGACAATACGTCATACTATAATTTCTCTTGTTCGACATCATCATCATCAACGAGCTACACCGTATCCTGTTACAGAATCAGCCCGCCGAGGCTCCTCCCCATCAGGCATCATGAGATCAAAGTCCTGCTCCGGCGGCAATGCAGGCACGGGTGGAGCATCGGATGCCTGATTGCGCTGCGTCGCACGCGTTACTCGTCCCGTCTGCTGCCTCACCCATGAGTTGACACTGCGAAACCGGGCAGGCGTATCCTCACTTGCCTCGGTATACACGGTGTCGCGCCGCTGGCTCAAGGCCCCGATGCTTTCTCGCCTTGCCACGGCCAATGGTGCCTTGACTGTAGTCTCAGAGGCGGTATTGTTTGCAGAGTTTGTGCCGCTACTCATGGTACCTATTATGAATTGCCCATCGCCAAATCCGGATGACAGGGAAGAAATGTCGCTCATGCGAGTGTTTGGGAGTTGAGCTCCAGATCGAAGAGTACTACCAGCCTGGGGCTCAATGGATGATATGGAAACCTTTGGCACGTGTAACGTTGCCCCATTTCGAGGCACATCGGCATGCGTGCTGGTTCTAACCAAGTCGGTCTGAACAGATATGCCCGAGAGAGGTGGCTGTTGTATCGCCATTGACTGGGCCTCGGCCACATACGCCTTCTCACTGAACGGGCCGAGATCTGCTTGATCAAGGTTTGTCCAGCGGCGGCGGCGATCATCCATGCGGTTTTTGAAAATGGGAATGCGAGCGAGTGCATTCGTCACCAACAGCTTTGGTTTATCCGTAGGCATGTTTTTGGGGAAATGTGGTTTCCAGGTCCTGGAACTGTCAACCGCCCGGCGGCGTTTGTGACACCGCCAAATCAACCACCCAATAAACGCAACAATGATTGATGAACCTGCATTCTCATGTATCAGTCAAACCAGCTCCGATTTCCGGTCCGAGGAAGGGAAGGCTCTAAGCATACCAATTGAGCCCAGGGCAACAAGAGCCATTTCTACTTTGGGATGGATATTGCCCTTGTCATGACCGGGGTGATATGCCTTGTCTGAATCAGAGATTGGCGTGGGGTACACGGAAGACGACCTCGTCGGGCTCGCCGGGCTCGCCGGGCTTGCGGGGCTCGTCGGAGACATTGACATCGAAAATGTCGAGACCGCATCTAACGTTGGCAGAGGATTAACACCTTTTCTGGGGCCAGTAGACAATGGCACGGGAATGGTAACAATCGGCGCAAGTGAAGGCGGAGGCGCATTGGTCGTAGTTGTCCGTCTAGTTGTTGAAGCACTTGGAGTCAACGTGCTGAATCCCATACTTGGACCGTAGCTGCTGTCTGGCCACGTGTTTCCCGGAGGCGGCTGGATAGGATTGACAACGGCTTCTGTGGGTTTAGGCTAATAGCAAAAGTCAGCCATACAGTCGGCATCGTAATCAGCGTGCGCAAAGGGCGGGTTACTGTTTCTGTATCCACTTGGTTAATGGGTTATCAAGATGACTCACGTTTCCTGGATTTGAAACTGGGGGAGGCGGCGGTGGAAGAGGAGAAGGAGTTGGATAGGCCGGAGGAGGCGGAGGGGTTGGATTAGCCGGTAAAGTTGGCGACTTGGGTGAATTGGGTGAATTGGGCGATTTTGGCGATTTTGGTGACTCTGGTGACTTCAGTGATGGTAACCGAGGCAGAGGTTGGGTTTGAATCGGGGCAGGCTGCTTCAGGCCCTCGGACTTGGGATTTTTTTCATCGTCGCTGCTCAGCGGCCCATCTTGAGGAGATAATGCATCGAATATACCGCTCACAACCGGCTGAGCAATGTCCTTGAAAAGTCCTCTGCTGTCAAGACGGCTGGGCCGCTGTGCAGGGTCGGCGGCATGTGCTACGCCACGGTCCCTGTTCCACTTTCTACTTCTTCGCTGTAGTATTGATAACCCGGCATTTCGGTCCTTCTCATCATCTTCTGCCCGAGTCCAGATGGGAAAGTCCATAGGGAGTTTAGTTGGCGGCTTGTTGTCCTGCAACGCAGGCCCGTCTTTCTCCGCAACCGATACCATGATGGCTTCTCAAGACAAGTCGTGCGAGTTGTTTTGCATTATTCTCCTTTAAGGCTTGGTAGGAAGTCGATATGTCAAGTTCATGGCTAAGCTAGAAGAAACAGACGAGGTGTTGAAAAACGACGTCGACAAAGAAGAAAGTGCCACGGACTCGGACGAGACTTGTAAGTGAATGAGAATGATACAGGGCCAGCCCCGATCAGGAAATCAAGTAGCAAGAAGGGCAGTCCGGTGCACCATGCACAGTTGAAGCCCGGCCAGTTCGAAAAGGCAGCGGCCAAAGGGTAAATAGCCAACGGAGTTGCAAAGACCAGAGGTGAATGGATATAGGGACTCGGAGAAATAAAAGGGAGGGCGAAGGAAGAAGACAAAACAAAACAGTCTTTGGGTCGAGGTCGAGGCCTCCATGTTCGGTCGACGGCGCGTGGTTCCGAGGGTGGTGCCAGAGATGGCATGTCAAGGGGCTCCAACATGGTGCAGCATGAAATCAAGGCAAAGCAGCTGCCGGAACGGTAGAGCATGGCTATCTGCGACGGCCAGGTTGGCAGGTAGTGGGTGGTGAGAGCCGTTGGTCAGAGACCTCAGACAGCTAGCCTGTCTGGCGTTTTGGCGAGCGTGTCGTGGGAAAAGAGGTCCGTGGTTGCGCGGCAAGACGGTCATCTACCCGTGTCGCTGGCGATACCACATTGGGATCGTTGAGGCGTCACGACTGCCCCTGCGTATGGGCTTTCGATTTATGTAACTTGCATACTGTGTGTACATAAAGTATGTACTTATGTATGTGCATGCATGTGTAGCACCAGACTTCACATGTGGAGCCGGGGAGACTGGGGAGGCAATGGTGCGTAGCGTTGGGGCTCGTTCTGCGACACAAGTTTTGCTCGTCATGTCGCAGATTTGACCACGGCTGGTTTCAGATGACGGTCATGGTCCCGGTCCCGGTCCCGGCAGAACCACGGGCAAGGAGTCCAAGACGGAGAGAGTGATGCCGCAGGGCCTTTGGGGTGCCTTGAATTGCTCATCTGTGACGGCATCATGGTACACCTGGGTGTCCCACGACGAAGCTGGTGAAGCTGTTGTTCACTCAAGCATCGGGCAGCTTTGCTCCGCGCCAATGGTTCTTCAATCTCTTGACAGGGCTGTCACGGCCGGGAGGATCGCCGGCAATATCGAGATTCTTTTACTCCGTATCGGCAGCAGAAACGACGAATCAGTTCCGACAATAACAGGATGGGAGAGAGGCAACAGACATGTGATTATGGTTGGGGTTGGTTGGGGAGCTGGACAAATCAGAGCCCAAGGAATCACCCCAGAAAACAACAGCCAGCATTGACTGCCGCAGGAACATGTCGGCGTGTGTTTGCCTCGACGTATGTACATATGTATGCCACATGGCATCAGCCATCGAGTGTGTTTGTTGCTAGACCCCATCAACCCATATGCCTAGGTACATTGGTATGTATGTCTGTCGGGAGAAACTGGAGCCTCGGCAAGAGAGCAGCGACAAAGCCATCGAGGCCAAGCTGCGGCTCCCGTGACGCAGCGACAGGCAACGGCGGGAAGAACCGAACATGGCGCTGCTTGCTTTGATGTTGTACTAGTAATAGGCGTCGTGACTGTCGTCACATTCGCGGATGTCGGCTGATGTCGGAACCAGGGGCCAAGATGGGACGGCGGCAACACGGGCAGCACTGGAGGCTCCAGACAGACCATCAAGACTGAGATGAATTGCTGGAGACTCATGAAGAGTCGTGCATCGTGGTCAAGGTGGCCGCGGCGGCGTCTCCCGAGTCCAGACCGCCGAGTGTCTACAAATGACGTTCAATGTTACCAGACACCCGGCATTGCTTGTGTAAGCGGCGCCTTTGCAAAGATTTTCTGCGTTAATAAAATAAATTACTACCGAAAAAAGCGGCCGAGGGCCGGTGGGACAGCCCAAGACCCAAAGTTGGCACTTTCGCCCAATGAAAAACAAGAAAAGAAGGGACGTGGAGCCCAGGCCTTAGAGAGCACAAGGCTCTGGCGCTGTCGTTGACGCTGTCAGTCACTGCGATAAACGGGCCGCACGCGCCAAGGAAAAAGGACAGAGTCATTCATAGAGAAAGAGAAAAAAAAAAGCGCCAAACCGCCAAGCCCAGGCAAACAGCTTTCTCTCTCTCTCAGCCGCCAACTTCACCTCGAGCTGCAACACGTACTCTCTGCCACCTCGTCCTCCCTCCCTCTCCGGCGGCACGTCACCACCCATTGCTTCCGTCTTTGCTGCTTGCCGGCGCAATTGAGTCTCTGTGCAGACGGCACTCCGGAGCTCCGGCGCAATGCCTTCCACCCCCCGAGCTCTGGCCGCCCTCGGTCGAGCAAGTCAATTGGCATTGCCAACCCGCGTCGGATCCAGAGCCTACTCTACGGCCTACTCTGCGGCGACCGGACGCCATGCTCTGCGGTCAGCCGCGAGGCCGACCGTCGCCATGAGGCTCGCCGCGACTGGCAGGGTCGCATTCCGCAGAGCTTATGCCGACGAAGCCCCCAAGCCCAAGCCCAAGCCCGGCAGACTGCGCAGGACCTTCAGATGGGCATGGAGAATCACCTATCTCTCCGCCGTTGGCCTTGTAGGCTACACCTGCTACATCGTCTACCAGGATCGCCATCCCGAACCCCAGTTCGAGCCGGATCCGACCAAGAAGACGCTGGTCATTCTAGGTGAGCGAAATCGGAGTCCAGCTCTGCAACTGCTACATGACTAGTATACCTCGTATACTGTTACTAACCTTGGTCCCTTCTCAGGTACTGGCTGGGGGTCTGTCGCCTTGCTCAAGAAGTTGGATACCGAGAATTACAACGTCGTCGTCGTGTCTCCCCGAAACTATTTCTTGTTCACCCCCCTCCTGCCGTCATGCACGACCGGCACCATCGAGCACAGGTCCATCATGGAGCCTGTCCGAACCATTCTACGACACAAAAAAGCAGCAGTCAAGTTTTATGAGGCGGAAGCCTCGTCCATCGACCCCGATCGAAAAGTCATCAAGATTGTCGACAATTCGGAAATCCAGGGGGCCACCTCCGAGACCGAGATTCCTTACGACATGCTCGTCATTGGCGTCGGTGCTGAGAACGCAACCTTTGGCATTCCCGGTGTGCGAGAACATAGCTGTTTCCTCAAGGAAATTGGCGATGCCCAGCAGATCCGCAAGAAAATTATGGACTGCGTCGAGACTGCCGCCTTCAAGGGACAGACCAGCGACGAGATTGATAGGCTGATGCACATGGTTGTTGTCGGCGGCGGGCCCACTGGTGTTGAGTTTGCCGGCGAGCTCCAGGACTTCTTCGAGGAGGACATCAAGAAACTCGTTCCTGAAATCAGCCCTCGCTTCAAGGTCACCCTGATCGAAGCCCTCCCCAATGTCCTTCCCTCCTTCTCCAAGCAGCTCATTGATTACACCGAGAACACGTTCCGTGAGGAAAAGATTGACATCAAGACAAAGACCATGGTCAAGAGGGTCACGGATACCACAGTCGAGGCCGAAGTCAGTCGCCCTGACGGTGGCAAGGAGCGCGTTGTCATCCCTTACGGCCTTCTGGTCTGGGCCACTGGCAACGCCGTTCGGCCAATCGTCAAGGACCTGATAACCAAAATCCCTGCCCAGAAAGATTCACGCCGTGGCTTGGCCGTCAACGAGTACCTGGTTGTGCAGGGCACCCGTGATATCTGGGCTGTTGGTGACTGCGCCGTCGCTGGGTATGCTCCCACTGCACAGGTCGCATCTCAGGAAGGCAACTTCCTCGGCCGGCTGTTCAACAACATGGCCAAGACTGAAAATCACGAGTCTCGCATTCAGGAGCTGAGTAGCAAGATGAATCTGCAGGCCGGTGACTCGGCCGAGGCCGCACACGAGATTGAGAGTCTGGAGAAGCAACTGCGCAGGATCAAGGATATTAAACCCTTCAGATACAGTCATCAGGGCAGCTTGGCCTACATTGGTAGTGAGAAGGCTGTTGCCGATGTCAGCTGGTGGAACGGGAATTTGGCCACCGGTGGCAGCTTGACCTATCTTTTCTGGCGCAGCGCTTACCTCTCCATGTGCTTTAGCAGTGAGTTATATCCCTGGCTTTGATTATTGCAGTTTTCACCTTGGTGGCCCCCTTCCGCCTCTTTTCCTCAAGCGCCGGGAACTAACCGACTACCAAACAGCCCGCAATCGAGTCTTGGTCATTCTGGATTGGCTCAAGTCCAAGGCATTCGGCCGAGATGTGTCGCGAGAGTAGACGGGACAATGAAACTGGCGAGTTTGTACACAGGCGCTGTGGACGTGGTGGCCACACGATTATTACAGATCGGGAATGAGACATCATAGATAATTACTTGGGACGTCTAACAATAGAGTAAGGGTGCATTCGTATTTAAACTAGAGGAATTCTAACTTGACTTGACTTGACATTGTTCAATCTACATGAGTATTCTCGTCTGCCATGGTGTCCACCGGATTCTGGTCGTCAGATAAATAGCCCCGATAATGATGTCACTGGATTTTTTTCAAGTGAGATTCCTACCTACCCAGGTAGGTATCTGTCTAGTCTTTAGGTGGTGAATACTTAGATAGGTAATCAGAGTCTTGGAACGTATTCCAATGGTTTGCAACAATGCAACGCTTCAGCGGATCAACCCATCGACACCACAGCGCCAAAAGCTACAAGACTCGCTTTGGAAAAAAAAAAAAAGATAGCTGCACATTAGACGTGTAATTCCGAATGTATCCAATTGCCAGATGCAAAATCCAAAGCCAAAGTCAAAATCTGCTCGTTGGTGTTGTAGGGTAGCTCACATGTGTCTCATTACATAAGCAGAAGGCGACAAAGGAGACAGGAAGTCCGAAGACCCACCAAAGTACGCTGGTGGAGGCAAGTTTTTTACTAGCGTAGCCTAGTCTGACTGGAAAAAAAAAAAATGGGAAGGGGCCTGGCTGGCAGTTGGCAGGGCAGAGGCGGAAGGGAAAAAAGTCCAGGCGCGAGTCGGGCCAACAAAACTCTGTTCTTTCAAACTCTGCACTACGCAACCGCAACTCTCACTTTTCTCGACATTCACTCCTCCCCATCGCCTTGCACAACAGATCCGTTTATCGGACTTGAAATTCTGTGATTCAATACTGACGGACCGCAACATCTCGCTCCCATAACCCTCACCTTTTTCGGCCTTACAAGCCCTGACCCAAATCGACAAAGGACGCCAACATGTCCAACTACGGTGGCGGTCGCGGTGGCGGGTACGGTGGTGGTCACGGAGGCTATGGTCGCGACAGAAGCGACAGAGGAGATCGAAGTGGCTATGGCGGAGGCTACGGTGGAGGGTGAGTTTCGACATTCGAAGGCGACTGAGCATTAACCAGCGATTGTCAACACGCTGCACTGGAAGTTGTTCCATGTGCATCGGCAATCGCGACATGCCCAGCTGGCCACGTCGCCGCATTTCGAAAGAACAACTTACTAACGAATCAGTTTCAGACGATCTAATGGTTACAGCAATGGCTCCCATGGTAACAGCAACGGCTTCGGCGGCGGTTATGGCGGTGGCCATGGCGGCTACGGTGGTGGTGGTGGCGATCGCATGAGCAACCTCGGCGCCGGTCTACAGAAGCAAAACTGGGGTGTGTATTCCTCCTCTCGGACAAGACCATGCTTCCAAGAGTATTAACGATTTCACAGACCTCTCTACGCTGCCTAAATTTGAAAAGTCGTTCTACAAAGAGATCCCGGAAGTCGCCAATAGATCCTCTGCAGAGGTTGACGCGTTCCGTCGCAAACATCAAATGACAATTGCAGGAAGAGATGTGCCCAAGCCTGTCGAGACCTTTGACGAGGCCGGGTTTCCACGCTACGTCTTGGACGAGGTCAAGGCCCAGGGCTTCCCTGCCCCCACTGCTATTCAGTCACAGGGCTGGCCAATGGCTCTCTCTGGACGTGACGTTGTTGGTATTGCCGAAACGGGATCAGGAAAGACGCTGACCTACTGTCTTCCCGCCATTGTTCACATCAACGCCCAGCCTCTCTTGGCCCCTGGGGATGGTCCTATTGTTCTTGTCCTAGCCCCGACTCGTGAACTTGCTGTCCAGATTCAGCAAGAAATCACCAAGTTTGGTCGCTCCTCACGCATCCGAAATACCTGCGTTTACGGCGGCGTCCCCAAAGGTCCTCAGATTCGCGATCTCTCCCGAGGCGTGGAGGTCTGCATTGCCACCCCCGGCCGTTTGATCGACATGCTGGAGGCTGGCAAAACAAATTTGCGCCGTGTCACTTATCTTGTTCTTGATGAAGCTGATCGCATGCTTGACATGGGTTTCGAGCCCCAGATCCGAAAGATCATTGAGCAGATTCGACCTGACCGACAGACTCTCATGTATTCCGCGACGTGGCCAAAGGAGGTGCGAGCCATGGCTGCTGATTTCCAGACCGACTTTATTCAGGTCAACATCGGCTCCATGGACTTGTCTGCCAACCACAGAATCACGCAGATTGTCGAGGTTGTATCTGACATGGAAAAGCGCGATCGCATGATCAAGCACCTTGAGCAGGTCATGGAAAACAAAGAGAACAAGATTCTCCTTTTTGTCGGAACAAAGCGAGTTGCCGACGACATCACCCGATTCCTTCGTCAAGATGGTTGGCCAGCATTGTGTACGTATCCATCCTATCAAGCATTGTTTGTGTCTCACGACAGTTGGTTACTAACTGCCCTTCACTGTAGCTATCCATGGCGACAAGCAGCAAAACGAACGTGACTGGGTCCTCGACCAGTTCAAGACCGGAAAGAGCCCCATCATGGTGGCCACAGACGTAGCTTCACGTGGTATTGGTTAGTATCATCACCCCCGTCCAACCCTACCGCCCTCGCCTTATTACCCATTGGCAACTTCCAGCAACGCTTTTGCTGTATTTTACTCTTGACGTCTAGGGGCCATATCTTAATTGCGCGAGCGTGCCTGATGTAAACCGTGTCCGCCTGGTTTCTCCAACCGTGGAGTCTTGATCCGTTGTGTAGCCTTGCCTTTGCTATACTCGTATTTCTGCCCGCGTACCCATTTTCTCTATCGTGGTACTGGCGTAGAAGTTGGCATCTCTTGATTTCTTCAAGCTGTCTCCCAAGGCTCCCTGACCCGAGGACCCGGTGACTGACGGAATCCACAAGTTCCCCAAAAAGGATGAATGGCATTGTCGCACCCAATTGGATTGCCCTGGTTTTTCCAAGGAGTGAATGTTAAGATGGCTTTAATCTCGAACCATCCCTGACGCATTACTGCGCTGGAACGTTGCTATACACACCCTCATCTTCGCCTGCTAACCTTGATTGATACAAGATGTTCGCAACATCACCCATGTGTTGAACTACGACTACCCCAACAATTCGGAGGACTACATCCACCGAATTGGCCGTACTGGCAGAGCTGGTGCCAAGGGAACGGCTATCACGTTCTTCACCACTGACAGTAAGTCCGAGTTTTTATATCCCTCCTGGTCATTACTCGTAGGCTAACAACATCATCCAAGACCAGAAACAGGCTCGTGAGCTCGTCAATGTCTTGCAGGAGGCCAAGCAAAAGATTGACCCTCGCCTTGCCGAAATGGCCCGCTTCGGTGGCGGAGGAGGCGGTCATCGATATGGAGGCTGGGGACGAGGACGAGGCGGTGGTAGAGGTGGGTATCGACGACATTGAAGCCATGAAAACTTCACCACGAGCTGACCTGTCTTGTCTCAGCCAACGCCAACAGCCAACCCCTGGGAAACCGAAGGTGGTAAGGTGACTTGTCGTCTACAAGTTGGCTCAGGTCTGTGCGAGCTGGAAAGTAGCAAGATTACCCTCTCGAATATGAAGTTCAAAAGCACATGGTACATGTAACGGCGTTTGATAGAAGGTACAGGATGTTTTTTTCCCTCCATTTCGCAGTTAGACACGGCGCGATGATGGTGCACAATCGTCAAGGTTATTCATTTTTGTCTGTTTCTTATTGCTCGTGGTTGCCGAGTTGGGCTGGACAAGCAAAGTAGTACCCGCCTGGGCCCTGGTCCAGAGCAGAGGCGCGGCCTCTTTAACGACGCCTTTGCCCTCGCACCGACTGTCTCTGAGGACTAGGTTATGGCTGCGCATGTATGTCGATAGACGATTTGGCCAGGAAAGCATCAGACCAATTTCACGGCGCAGGCAATAGTGTCGTGGTTGTTGGATGCTAACCTGTCACTGATTGTGTTGATAGATGATTTTGTAGTTTATAAAAGTTGCTTGCATTTTTGACAATCGAGGCAGAGGTTCGCCAAATCACATGATGTATTTGCGAGCTCAGTGAAGATGTCCACCTATATTATATATACATATATCTTACTAGTGATATGATGACTTTTGTGTGGGCTGTCATATATTGCGGCAAATCATGTGATCAATATATTCTGTATCAGGGATCAACGAAGGCAAGGATTTACCATGCTTGCTCCTGTCCATATCGTCAACGCTCGCCACATGGAATGACGTCAAGCAGCTGGGTTGCGTGTATGCTCGTCGGCATGCTTCAGGTTATGCAAGTCGCGTCGCGGCCGAGACGCTTGTCACTGCCTTGATGAAACAAGGGGGGACCGCAGGGCAAGCTTGCTCGCCTCCTTGACATGTTTGAATGGTTCTCGCCGCCTGCTTCGCCTTCTGCATGCCCGAGGGATTCGGGCTCCATTCGGTAAATCCGCATGCCGCTGTGTCCGGGAGGGGGCGCGATTCTGACTACATTTTTGCGGAGTTAAAAAAAAATTAACAAAACACGCTGACGAGAAAGGGCAAAGTTTATGTGTGCATGCCTGGGGCCTCATCCAACAACACGCTGCATGGCTTCATCGCTTTGCGCCCTGGAGTGTCTACAATCGCTTCATTCCGTGATCTGGCTGTCATCTTGCCAGGAGGCAGCTATGGTTCTTTTTGTTTTATGGAAATACAAAAACCAGAGTTTGATTTTTGATACGCGGACCAGGCCGTAGAATATCCCTCGTACGGCATCAATAGTTGATGATGTTGCGCCGTCATCTCGGCGCATGGGGATGCCGGTGGGACGGTCTTGGAGAAAGCTGCCTTGGCAATGATGGATGAATGGGAGAAAAAAAAAACCCGCAACCTGGGCCAGATACGATCCTGGTCTCTCTGCCAAGGGCCTGTAAGCATGTAGTAAGACGTGAGGAGAACCCAACGCGACTCGGCTCGTGGGCACGGGACGAGACGGAGGGGCGGATTTTTTTCTTCCTTTTTCAATCTCCAAGTAACATTTCGTGCCAGTGCAGCTTGGATGCGTAATACGGAGTTGAGTTAGGCATATTGGATGACAGCTATTGCTGAGATTGACGAATGAAGTGTTTTTTGATGAGGGATGAACAAGGTTGCCAAATTATCAACTAGGCAAGTTCTTCTTTTTCGTTGTAGACGCTCAGGCACGGACCATAAACAACGTAGCAGAGACATTGTCAACGCGTGGACAACGTCAGAGTATTGAGATCAGCAACCCTGCAAGAGCCAGCGGAAAAATTGTTGCGAGCCTGGGAGTCGTGGCCTGGAATGGAAAGCAGCCTTGGGCCACGCGGTATACTGTCTGGAACAACGGAGCACGAAGACGGGAGGGAGTAGGGAGCAGAAAAGACGGCAGGCAGTGTCGATAACAACAGGCGCGACTTTCCAGCTCAGCACGACGACGTGTGTCTCAGATTCCCCATCGTTGAACCAAGGTAGAACCCCAGACGTGTGTGTGCCGGCAGGCAGGTAAGCAGGTTGGCAAGCAGGCAGACAAGGTACTGCGAGACATGTTCATGGGGGGGGGGGGGGGGGGGTTCTGAATGTGGCCTTGCCGAATTGTTTTGGCGAGTTGATCTCAAGCCATCTCTTGTCACCTGACCTTGATCGTCAGCACGTAATAGAATGCTGGCTGCTCAGTGCTTGCTTCTATACACTATATCCTGTTGTTTGCTCCAGGAACGTGTCGAGATGTCGACAGAATAGCTGGGGTCGCCGGCAACCATTGACCTCGACGAGATGTGGGCAAAGCTCAAGTTGTCCCAGGCCTCTTTCGCTACACCCCAAGAGGCGAAACGCCACCGTTTTGATCTCATCCGAACGCATCCAAAGGGGCTGGTGGGCTCCTCTGTATTTTGTGGATGTTTGATTTCTCGATTCCCCCAGAGCTCGTGTGTCCAACAGTAGCTGAGATTTCACTAATAGGCTCTCTACATGCCTGAGATGGTGGCTTCCACTCAGAAAATTCGAGGGAGCTCGAAAGTGGCCAGGGGACAGCTCAGATTCAACAACGCAGGAGAGGTGAGAGAGGGCTGGCTGTTCGGTGGCCCCGAGATTAGTGAACAGGTACTCCGTACCTCACCAGATACCAGGTAGGTACCCAGGTACCCAGGTAGTAGGTCGTAGCTAGTAGGGTCAAGTAGTACTTACCTAGGTAAGTAGCAATTGGCATTAATGTTGCTAAATGGCGGGAATGGATGGGCAGCCTTGGGCTGGATGTGCGGGTTGCCGGAGACGGCAACCATCCCGAAAAGTTTCGGATAGGCAAATGAGCGCTGGGAAGCCATACTGTCATAGGCGGCAAGTGGAAGAATACAAGCCTAAATGGCTGAAAGAGGGCTTGATGACAGACTGTGCCGTGATACTTGGTTATCACAGGCACGTACGTAAGCCTGTTCCCAGGGACGTGGTTCAGCATGGCGCTCCCTGAGTGGTGTGTGGAGGCCAGTACCGTAGTTGTACGAAGGACTTGGGATATGCTGGGACTGGCTGATTGCCTGTTCCTTGTTGTCCGGATCACGGAAGCCATGGCTCGGCAGTGCTGATGGAGGCCCCGGGGACTGGGTTCTTCACATTTGCCCCCGTCTCCTGGCGAAAGCTGTGGAATACCTGGACAACTCGAGCCTGCCCTTGCCCCCCCCCCCTTGGCATACGAAGATTGGATTTGGAAGTAGGTAGGTAACCTAGTGGTAATCCAGCTAAAACCCTCTGGCGTGCATGGCCTCTGGAATCTCGCAAACCATTGCCGTCATGGAACGAGATTGGGAAGCGTAAAAGGTGGGTGCTCACAATGTGACAATGTCCATCGCAATATCATATATCGTACGGAGTACATACTCCGCACCTCTGTGCACCTCTGTGCAGCACTGTAGCCAGCGCACCAATGAAGCTCCAGCAAGAAGGGGAGTTGGAGTTGGAGTTGGAGGTGGTGACTGGTGTCTTCTTGATGGTGGTGGTGGTGGTAGTGGTGGTGGTAGTGGTGGTGATCTCAGGGGAGGGAGGGGGGCGTTCGCTGCCGCCCAATTGCTCGCCACACCCACGGAGCACGGAGGGGTGTTGTGAGTAAAAAGACAGACATGGACGGGCATGAGCGAGGGGGTTGGCATTGCTCGCTGCCTTGCCCGTTGCTCACTGCTCAAAACGCCTTGGCTCTTTCTCGGTTGGACCTTTGGAGTTTGCAGTACTGCTGGATCCGATGCGACGGCCGCTGCCTCGAGGAGGCTGAAGGGAGACGCCTGATGATGGTGATAATGATAATGGTAACGATAATAATAACAATGAAGTGAAATGAATCCTGATCCTGCCCTGGGTCAGCAAACCCGCAAATCCGATCCCTTCGGGCGATGTCTCCCGAGCATGCTGGCTGGCACACGCGACGTGGTAGAGACGCGTCCCTTGGGCAGCGCCACAGCTCCTGAATCATGAACAGCCCTCTTGACGCAAAGGCGCAAAGGTACTTGCCTGCGTGTCTATGTATTGATAACGGACGGCCATGTGCTCGGCATACCTCGTTCCGTGTACACACACGCGCACACACACACACACACACGCACGCACGCATCTTGCTCGGGTGCGAGTACGGAGTGCCGAGTACGAGGGCTCTGGAGAGGCCCGAATGCGGCGGCAAAGTTCAATGTTGGGAACTTCGGATTTAGAATTTAGATCCCGCTGTGCCGGCCCCAACAGACTGAGTCCGTCACCTGCCACTGCGAGGCTGTACGCTCATTTCCCCGGGCTCTAGACCGTAGTAGCTGAAGTACGGAGTCGTCGTGAAGCCATTGGCGCCACTACCCGTCACCGCCTGTTCCCTGCCCGACGAGGCCAGCAAGTCCTCAAGGCCATACTCCGTACAATACAATACACAATTGATTTGAACTGCCCAGGTGGTTGGCAGCTATTCAATCATCCCTTGGTGGCTTAAGTGGCTGGATTCCTGATTTCTTCCTCCTGACCTGCCAGAGTTGATGGCCTCAATCGGTACAACTCCAACCCGGTTGGGTCCGACATCGTCAGGCCTCTTGCTGATTCCTGGTCTGCCAACCGGGTGACTCCGTGGCATCCATTCATCATAATTGGGGCCAAGCGGCCAGCCCTTCCTGTTTCGTGAGACCGACTCCAAGTGTCCAGGCTCCCCCCTCCTTTCAGACCCCTTCTCCAAGCCAACTCGCAGTCTGGGGCCTTTGGATCTCTGCTGGAGATAGTCCTACTAGTAGTAGTAGTAGCTGGAGTAGCGGTAGTGGCAGTATCGATGGAGGTGGGTGGCGTTTGTACCCCAGCTTGTCCTTGTCCAGCAGTCCATCCGGCACAAGGAAATGCGCTGGATGCATTACTACATGCATGCATGCTCGCTTGCTTTGCTTGCAACCTGTTGCAGCTGGCCTTCTAATGCAAAATGCATAACGATGTGTCTCCGATTCCCACTCCAGATAATGTACGGGGAAGGTCTATGCATATGGGAGAACATCCAATACAATGGAAGCAC